AAGGGAAGAGATCAACTTGTACTTTCTGTACAAGGAGCAAGGAGGGTGGCCACCATTGAACGATTTGACAAACTCATTGGGAACATTGTGCCTGATGAATCATCACCCGATCTGAGTGAACTTCGAAAGCTTGTCGATATCAAGACCGGTCACTTCAGTCATAATCACAGATTGTTCCCTGGACATCCGGATTGGAATGATGCAATATCATTGTTGGAGGAAGACCATCGACTATGCCCCGCATGTCTGATGGAGACCCCTGCACCACTATCGATTTGTGTGATGTGCAAAGGATTTTTGGTGAGTCATGGATGGAGGAAGCGAATCAAGATCACCGTGGCTACAATACCAAGTGCCGAATCGCATCATCGAGAAGAAGATCTCAAAGACCATGTCAAGAAAGCATGGGAGGAGGTGAAGATCGATTTGACAGGTGAAGGTGACGATGACGAGCTGATGCAAGATGATGATGATGTCACCATGAAGAGTCCAGAACAAGAACCTCAACCAGAAGAAGGAGATGATGACCAAGCCTCGAAGAAGGGCGACATCAATGATGAGAAAAGAGACTTCAGAGAACAAGATGAGGTCGACAAGTTTCTCAACCAGGAAGGAAAACCGACCGACGAGAATGACGATGAAGAAATCGCGGTCGATGAAATCAACATTGAGGAGTATGAGGCTGGAGAAGCTCGTGATGCAGTGATTGAGTACCCCAAGTGGATGAAGAGGATTGAGTTTGGATCAAAGGTCCTACCAATCGAGCCTTGCACAATTGGAGATGCTCAGCCGGAGCTCATCAAGATCCTCCTGTTGCAGATTGGATTACATATCGTCAGGATCTACAGACTATTCCAACGGAACTTCTGTGGAGACATCGAGACGGCATGGAAACACTTTCAACAGAACCAGAAATTCAGGATGGACCTGGACTCAAGGGTGCCTTACCTAGGCGAGGATGAAAATGGTGACCTCATCGAACCAACTGCACAACAGATGAAAGAGCTCTACAAAGAGATCGGCCGACCAAAACAAAAGGACGACATCGGGGAAGAGGGATTCGTCAATGCATGCTATGGGGCAGTGGTACTCAAGCGACTTCTCATATATACCCTTGAGTGTGGATACACGTATGATGACTTGCAAAATATCTTCTTTGACGAAGAGATGGAAAAGCTGTCGAAACGTGACACAACAATGGATGAGATGAGAAAGACCACAGCTGCCCGCGAAGCCCTTGACCGACAAGACGTCATGGTCAGAAGAATCATTGCAGGTGCATACAGGGTGAATGCTGTTTATTTCTTCAGGAACGTCGACTTTCAAGACACAATCACACTGAATCCGGTTGACATTGTGTGTGCTCTTCGTCCCGCACTTCGAAGAATATCACTTTTACACCTGATCCTTCAAAATGGCCGACAATTGCCACGACCTCTACTTCAGAAGCTGTATGATGCAATCGATGACTACAACCACATCAAGCAGCGGGACGATCAACGACCAAGATGGGGCATCCACATGTCTGACGCCCACATACTTGCGATTGCTGATACCCCGACTCCTGCCGATCGTGAGCGTGCTAACCCGGTCGCTGGCAAATCGAAAGCAGCCCCGAAGGCAGCACCAGCACTGGGCAGAGTGTCAAAAGCGAAAGCATCATCGTCAGCAACATGGAGAACCATCGAAGCCGCTCCTCCGCCAAAACAAGCTCCAGTAACCCCGCCGCAGAAAGGTGGAAAAGACCAAGGAAAAGGTGGAAGATCTTATTCGCACCGTGGTGGAGACTGGAACCAACAGGGATACTATGGATGGGGATATAGATGATAAATCGACATGACCTCTGCATAGGTCCTGATTGAACCTGGCGATGCGAGGATGCAATCATTGCTCGAGATTTACCTCTACTTCATTTCGAATGATTTCTGAGAGGACTCTGAGCCGGCTAATTTAGAACCACTCACTTTTTTTTGAACATCATTGCACGAGACGCTGAGTTTCTACAGCGGTCTACATCTCAACCGACGAAGGAACGGGAAGGTAAACTTCTAGTTCCATAGTCATCTTTGTGTTTGATTTTTTTAATTCACATGCTGGAGCGGGACTCCATGCTGGCTACGCCACATCGGATGAACCTCAATGCTTGACACCGACTACGTCGTGTCAACATGCACGTGAACAGAACCTTTATCTTTTGGTAGAGATCGTAGCAAGCCGCCGTGTAGATTTGAAATTCTGAACGGACTTTAGCTCTCCATAATTCAATAAATGAACAGCTGCAGATGTAATGGATCAATTCAAGGGACACTCCTTTGCGCGTGGCCGACAAAGTTGGCCATGCGTGGGGGGTGCGAATAGAGTGTAGGCTACGGACCATTGTACACTACCACATAATTCAGCCCTCAAAGATCCACAGCCAAGGGGTACATCAACTCGCCCCTTTGGCTCAAGACCACTGCAGGAACCGGAACAAAGAATTGCAATGCCGAAGCCGCTACCCGTGTGACGTCACCACTGAAACATCCACTTCAAGATCAAGTACCAGAACATAATCGGGGAGACAACCTCCGATTCACACATATATATATATATATGTATAACACAATGATAGTATAACCCAATACACTTTAATATAACATAATACAATGTTATGTCATTTGTTGTTATATCATTTGTTATGATTTCATTTGATATGATTTTATACATTATGATATTGTATTATACAATATGGGTAAAAACATAATATGATATAACATAACTTAATATATTTAATGTAATCAAATCCAATATAATGTAATGGACTATATTATAATATAAGATGATATGATATAATATAACATTACATCATATGATAATAATTAATACGAATGTAGATAGTATGATATGATTCGATATTATTATATATGGTATGATTTGATATCATACTATATCATATGATTTGATATGATATGGTATGATATATGATATACCATTGCATGAAATACTGTTAAATGAGATAAACACATATTATGTTTTATTCTATACATTGTAGTATAACAATAACATTATCTTATATGAAAGCAGCAAGGACTTCAATGAGCGGACCGTGGAAGTACCGCAGTTTGTGAAGGAAGCGATGAAGGACTTCATTGATCATGGAGGAGATGGATGCTGGTGTCACCATGGAGCCTTCCCCAAGTAAAGACACGTGAAAACAACAATAAATGGGACTTACTGGGGAATATTCATGGTATATATGAACCAATGGATAATCTACTGGGGATACAATTTCTTCCACCTGATATTAAACACACCCCAGAGACCATGGTTTAGTAGTGATTCAGGCATATTGGGACCCATTTAGGGTGTGTTTAGTATTAGGGGATGGGATATCACGTCATACTCTATTTCATATCTATGTGTAACTGGAAAAATGGCTTGGCACACTAAACACCAGCAGACCTGCCTGGTCTAGCCATGCATTTGGCCGAGTGGATCCCACAAACGATGAATTCTTCAATCGATTCTTATTGGATGCCAATTTTGCGATTCCTTATTTTGCTTTGATCGGTGATTTACTTTCGACTCACCTGACTTGCCCCCGACTTTTGAGTCTCCTGTTGGTGACGTTCAGTATCTTTCAATGAAGTTGTAATTCTTTTTCCAGGGATCATTTCATAGCTTGGCTTCAGGGACGATTGTGAGTCATTGTTTGGAGTCCCAAGTGTCAGGCCTCCAAAAATATCCTGCCTATGGCACTTTGCAGAAAGACATCGCGGATTCTTGGAGCTGATGAATATGTGCAAATTTGGTCGACCGAAGTTACGTTGTACACAAGATGCTTTCTTGTGAGATCATGCATTGTCCTTCGAATGCATTGTCCTTTGAATATCAGCAGAATCCATTTGTTGTGTTGTTCACTGATGAAAAACCACAGCATTGCACGGCTGCGACAAGAACCCCGAGCTTTTCGCCCAGGAGTATGCCGGAGTGAAAGCCGAACAGGTTCTCTTCACCAACGGTTCAGATCAAGGTTCGAGGGGGTCTATGTGAGTTTTCAGGAAGTTGGGGTATTCGTTTGGAGGATTACCTCCCAGTTTGTGTTATGGAAGCAAAGAGTTGCCCAGTTGCCCCTTGCAGCCACTGGGTGTGGCCTTGAAGCGCTGCAACTTTACAAGCATACGCCCCTGAAATCCCCTGAACCCAGGTCGCCAAATACTCACCACATGAAACCCATCCAACTTTGGATGAAACATCAGCAAGTGCGGATCAAACTTTGGTGCAGGGATTGACTTGGTGGTGCGCTGCTGCTGCGAGAAGGGTTCCGAGGCGCAGAGTTTGCAGAGATGAAATAGCCATGTTTGGATGCGTTGGGTATGAATCAATCAGATATAGGCGGATATATATAAACATATATATATATGTATTATATATATATTATATACACATACATGTTTATGGCAAAATATGAGGACCTCACTGCGACCTCACCGGGTTGATGGTCAGCAGGCGTAACTATCCTAAAATAGCATTGTTTTTTTCAGGTCATTGAATTATTATTATCATTATTTATAATATATATATATACATACGTATACATATGTAAATATGTATATATATAGAGGGCCATATATATATATAATATACATACTTGGATATGTCATTTTGAACCATAGGCCACACAAATTAAGAATATGTGACATCAACACTATGCACTTTATAACCATCTTATACTGTATATTACAATGCTAGGAGCAAGTGGACCCTACAAACATCTTCCTCACTTTCTCAGTATGTCCCTGCCTTTTCAAAGTTTAGACACACCCATTAAACGGATGTGTAATATGTATATATATATAACATCTTATATATATATACATGATATATGTACAATGTACACATGTTTTTTAGTAGGAAACATGGAAAAAAACATCCCTGGTGCCTGTTGATGTTCGTGGTTATTTTTCACCGTTGCTTTCCCGGACACCGATGAGGTGATCATTCCCTCGCCCACCTTCGCCATGTTCGAACAAGCCGCTGAGAGTGAAGGCTTGGTGATCCGCAGGCCGAACTTCACCAAGGAGACACCTGGAAGAAAAGTTCGGGTCCCCTGGGCTCCGAAAAAAATATGCCTTCAAAATGGAACATATGGAACCACTGAACCACTTAGATATCACCCAATTCCAGTGGTTAGGTCTGAATTTCTCCAAGTGAGACCCTTTTTCGGAGGGTCAAGCCATCATTTTGCGGCAAATCAAAGGAATGAAACCAGCCAACCCTTTTGAATTTGCATAGTGTTGGGCGGGTGCAAAGTGACATCCGAGCCATTCATGAGTCATGGATTCAATAGCAGTCAAAGAAAATTTAGAAGTCTATACTTCCGAATGATCCAGAAGAGAGTCGAGCAGCGAAGAGAGTAGGGAAGTGAAAGAGTACAGAAGTGAAGAGATCAGGCAAGTGGAGAGAGTATTGGGAAGTGGAGAGAGTAGGGAAGTGAAGAGAGTAGAGAAGTGATCGCTGGTGAGGCCTATAGGCCCTCGTTTTTCTCATAGGGCCCCCCTCTACAAACTTCCGTTGCCTGGCTTGCCCGGACTCTACTTGTAGCCGATAGTAGCTGGAAACATTGGGGTATGAGTCAAAATGTCAGAACGTGAGCCTGCACATTCTTTACAAAAAAATGTGGTACAACCCCCCCAAAAATGGCAGTACTCAATTTTATACCATACTGTACATAATCATACATAGATCTTTTGATTGGATCAGTTTCAGTGAGTTGAAGGGCTACCAGGGCGAATGGAGCTGAGGATGGGATTTCCACTACAAGAGGCGCGATTTCTGCCTGCCCTCTGTGTGTCACAGGGGACCGTTGGGGACAGAAACATGGGTCACAGGTGTTGGAGATGGTGAATCCAAAGACATCTCTGATTGTGCTCAGCGGCTTGGCTAAAAAAAAGAGCTGGTTGGTCAAGTGCGACCCTCCATCGAACAGCTTTAAAACTTGAATTATTCAAATCTTAAATGAGATGTTTTGACAGTGTTATTAATCGAAATTCGTTCTCCCTCCACGCGAACACACCCACGGGTCACATTGGGTCAATGGGCGATTTTTCATGGTTTTTGGAACAGGTTTCCCGTAAAAAGTACCAGATGATATGGGGATCCATGAATGATGAAGGTGATCTTGAGGCTGATGAAATCCCAAGGCAGCGGGGTGAGGAGGTTGAGGCGGTTGATATTGCAGATGCTGAGGCAATCCCAACAATCCCACTGGAACGGAGATTCCCCGAGATGCCATCATGGAAGTGTTTCTTGTCCTGGACACTCCGCGGGCGTGTTCAGCTTTGGTAGTGAAACCGGCTAGTTTAGTTGGAAAATCACAGGAATGCTTTGTATACCCGACTGGCGCGCTGGTGTGCTTGGTTTTTCACCTGGTAACAACAGAATCCCAAGAGTATTTGGATCACTAGTCATGATTCTTGATCCCAGAAGGGAACGTTTGACCCCCAAACGACCATGTCCAAGTCCAAGTGGAAGATCATAGAACATCAGTTTCACGATCCTTGTTCATTTTTTGTCCATGTGAGTTTTCCGGAGGGTCTATATAAAATACAAGATATAATATTTGTATATTATTGTATATTATAGATATCATACATATTTGTATATTATATATTTGCATACACTGCATATGCATACACCAAAATAGACATATGTATATAGGGACATATGTACATTTGTGTATATATATAAATACGTATATATAACATGTATACTATGTATACATATATATATATACATACACGTACAAATATATACATTCTTTATATGTACATGCAAGCAATATTCTCCCTGGAAATTGTCAGCTCCAAGGCCTATTCACCATCAACATAGGCAACATCATGGCTTTTGGCTCATGCTGGTTGGTCTCTTATAAGATATTTTACCCTATGGTTATTTAAGACAGCTATGGAAAGTCAATGGACATCACTATGTTTAATAGGTAGATCATCTAAATGAGTCATTTTTCATAGTTATGTTAAATTCGCAGAGGGTAAATCATTCTTTTCCATCTCTACCTGGACTGATAATCACCGATGACCTCTGCTTCTCGGGTCCAGGTGCTTCAACGACTCAACTACCCAAATCGGGCGGAACTCGATCAGTCATCAATACAACTGAAAGAAACCATTTAAACATACCGTAGAAAGACACGTTTGGGTGGCCATTGCCGTTGCACCAGAGGTTGAAAAAGTGCAGTTGCGCGATTTTGGTGGACGAGTGCTACTTCGAATTTATGGATCCCTCCACTTCTGTGGCGAAGCTGGGCTGTGCCCAGCTGGTGCCAATGCAGCTGGGGATTGTGGGAGCCAAAACTGAACTGGGAGCCAAAGATATATGATGGTTTGGTTTGCATCCCCATGTGCAACTAAGCTGAATCACCTTCAAATCTCAGCTTTGATGAATATATATATATATAATATGCCAGGTAAACTACTAAACTAGCGAAGCTATGCAATTTCAACACCAAGAACTCCGAGGAATGAGGTCGAGACCTATCCCAATCTCTTTGCAGCTTGGACAACCAGAGCTTGCTGATGACCCCGTTGAAGCGTTGCTGATTTGTTTAATAGCATAACAGATAAAGCAGAAAGCATCAAATGTCATTCTCTATATGAGTGTTCCTTAAAATGGGGGATCCCCAAAACCGTAGGTTTCAATACTAAAATTGTTTTTTTTGGATGAATTGGTGGTACCATCATTTTAGGACACCCCCATATACTGTATCAAGTCCAGTGGTGCATGGTTGGATAGGGCTACGACGTTGTTTGAAATGCAAGTGACCCAGCAGCAAAAACACGCAAAACAGCTATGGTACCATATGGTACCTATTTTGGGGTTCTGTTCTTATCGCTTAATGACATATGGTAGTGAATATATCAGTATGAATCATTATGATGTATCAGTTTCATAAACACTTTGTAACGTATCATGTTGATATATCATTATATAGTACTTCAGCCATCAGCAAGAGTGGCCGACCGCCATTTTTTCGGGCATCACAAGATTCAGATGATTGAAGTCCTGACCCAACCAGAATCTTAAATATCTAGAATCGAGATGTGTTTGTAATCCATATTCATCAGTTATTTTCCCCAACAATCGCTGGAGTCTTGAAACAACACATTTAGTGTGTGTTTTGGGCTGCTGAGAAGTGATGTTTGAGATCTCCACAGAGATCTCAAGAGATTTTTATCCACTGGCTTTGCAGTCACGGCTTGACAGCTAGCATTGGAAGTGAACGTCAGGAAAACCATGTCCTTCAATGGTAAACCTGGTAAACACTATGTAAGATTGAGTAGCAAAGTCAGCACTTTCCACATATTTCCCAGTGTTTTTTCTCTTCCCCAGTGATCCAACATCAGAAAGTCAGCACTTTCCCCATCTTTCCCAGTGATTTTTCTCAGCCCCAGTGATGATTCAGATCCAATGAGGTGAGCAGAACCTTCTCAAAGACCTGGGGTTTTCCCTCGTTACGCCTGGGCTACCTGCTTTCCACGGGCAGCAACGTGAGTGCACTGACCTGTGTGCGCGGGCCCTATGAGACCTGGCAGCCCATTACTTCTTTGGAAGGGGTCAGAATGGAAGAGATGTGAGACATGACATTCTTGAGCGAAGTGTCATGCACAGTTGAGTTTCGTTGACTATTGAAGAGTCTACGTTTAGAGGCTGCAGCACGGTTCCCTGTTGGGCAAAGGGAAGGATGGATTTCAAACCATGGTGAGGACATCAACCAGCTTGCCGTGGTGGGTATCTTAGCTGCTCTGAAGCAGCGCGACTACGTCTTCGAATATGTCAGGGAAGTGATGGAACCCTGGTGCAATGGTTCAGTCGCTGTGATGGGCCGATTAGACACCTGCTCTTGGGAGGGTGAAAGCATCAATTTCCAGGAATGACATGAGAAAGGACTGCATTCTGGAAAGCCGCTGAACAGGGCCTTTCAACTCGAAGCTATAGGAATTTAGAATTTATCGGTTTTCCGTGACGAGTGTGACTCTGTGCTGGGGTCCCAACGCTGCTACAAGTCTGTTTTCTTTGGACTTCAACCATCCAATTTAGGGGTGCCGATTGCCACTAGCTAGTGCGATTACCTCCCAGATGTTTGGGGTGTAAGACCAACTACCCCAGCCTGATTCTGTTTGTACATCCGTCCAGCCATTCTTCCCATGTATATATATATTATTATATACATACTATACACATGTGTATAGACATTTACATACACATAATTATAGATATTTAGAACTTGCAACTATCCAGGAATCCAACCCGAGTTTCTCCAAAGTTCTATGGCCATCCCCCGATTTCCACGCAGCCCTTATGGCTCGAGCCTTCGTCCGCGTCAGCCCTTGGCAGCGCCGTGATCCCGGCGCCTGGCTCGGCTGCGGCTCGGTGGACGTGATGCCCAATGCCATCGATGTCGGCGTGCGGCGAGGGATGACCTCGGCCTCGGAGCCTTGGTGCCACGGTCGGGGCCGTTGACACATGTTGACACCATATTTTTTGAGTGAAAAGCCCAGGGGGAAAAAATGGCAGGTTGCCTTTTTGTTGGTCATTCTTGGTTTTTGAATATCATTTTTCTGGGTGGGGAGCCGGAGCATCCACTTTTCTGAAAGTTGTCTTTGTCTCTCAAGCCGTGGAGAATTTACGCCCATTGATAGGCAGTAAAAATTGGGGAGCATTTCAAGGGATCGGCTGGAAATGGATGGTGGTACATACATCAAGGTTAGCAAAAGGTTGCTGACCTTTCAAAAGTTCATTTGGTGGAGGAGTGTGAAACATATGGGTATCTTTTGGGCATGTTGGAGCGCTGGAGCACCTAGGAAAAGAGTCACCGCTTCGTGGCAGTTGCTTGTTTCATGCCACTTGGCTTCCTAAGTTGGCGATCAAGATGCCACATTTACAACCCATACATGGCCATGGCTCGAATTTACATTATCAACCCCTGCAAAATTGGATGGTTTTGTTTAAAAGTGAGTAAACTTACTCACTGATTGGTACACAATGATTGGTACGCCATGCTCTATTTGCATTTTATAGCGAATGGTCGCCAGTGATGCCCCAGGTTGATTGAAAAGGCGATGGTCGCCAGTGGTCTCTCGAAGTTCTTACCGGGCACCTTACTGGGCATGTTTGCCTTGTTCGGCTTTCTGCTGACCTTAGATGTGCCTTGGATTGCCGCAAGGTGTAGATCTTGGAGTGGGTATCTAGATATGCGATGATATAATATACATATAATATACACATAATATACATATAATATACATATTATAATATACATATAATATACATTTATCCACATAATGTACTACTAATGTAATCTAATGTATACACATGTATGGTAAACCCAATAATGAATCATCCCCAGTCTTGCCAGAAATGGCTTGGCACCAACCATCAAACATTGAAGATGTATGTTTTCCACATCAGTAACAAGGAACAACAACTTTGGGGAATTCATGTTGCGTTCAGGGGTTGATGTTTGATTCCGATGGGTTGGCTCCATAGGATGCTGCAATTGAGGCCTCAGGAAACCCTGGTGCGGCCAATGCCATCTTTCGCTTCCTGGAGCCCGGCTATCGCTTTCTGCTGAAATGGGCTCCGGTGTTCTTTACGCCAGCCTTAGTGACGCTCGGAAGGGATTTTCAGTCAGATGTACGAGCATTTCTTTGCGTCGCATTTTGACAGACTCTGAGAGAGATTAAACCTGATTGTGGCCAAATTACTAGAAATGAGCCAAAACCTCTGAGCACTGCAGTTTTCAGAGGCTAACTTGGGGGCAGCCTTCCCTACTTGGATCTAGCACTTTATGGATTTCTTTTGAAATCGCAGCATCTCAGCACCCCCTCCCATCCCACTGGGATGATGTCGATTGAAATATGAACAGTACCCCTCAGTACCCCAACGGCCTGGGGGTTGATGCTTTGTTTGCGGTTATACTATGTGGATCTATGTGGTTCAATAGAGGTTGTATCCTGGATTCTCCTTTCGGGACTTTCGGGGTAAAACACAGTAAGACCATCAAAACTTCTAATGAAGACAAGACGAAACCAAACGAAACATCCCTCAAACAACAGGTAGTGTGGGTAAAAACAATAATAAACCATCCCCCAAATCACCATAAATAGGTGATATAAATCCATTCCCAAATGGGTAGCTTATGGCATTGTTTTCCCCACATGATTTCTATACAACGTTGGCCTCCCCATGTCCCAATCTCCCAGCCCGAGGAAGCTGCCGTTGGTGGAAGAGCACATCTCGGGTTTCGAGTTCTTGCGCTTGGCTGTGCTGATTTTTGTGGGGGGCATGCTGCAGATGGCCGCTGTTGCCATGATTGCCACTGGGTACTTAGGGGATGATTTCGACTTGGGAGGTGGGACAATATATGACCAACATATTGGTTTTTAGAACATATGAAAAAATGATAAAACTTGGATGGAACTTGGAATTTAGAAATTGAGTGGGGCCCTGGAAAGATCAATCAACCTGCGAGAACATCTGAGATTTCACCAATCTAACTGGATGGAAATCATGTGCTGATCCCATGGGTTTCCCACATTTTCCCTGAATGGCGCCCAGCGAATGACATCTTGGTTAAACTCGCATTTTTTGTCCGTGAAATATTACATTTTCTGCTGGTGAACTCATCAAGTTCTAAGTATTTCTCCTAGTCACATTACGTTTTGCCGCTCAATTCGCATCTGAAACTTTTACTGTTAGTTAAATTCCAATTTTCTATTTTTTTTTTCCATATGTGTTCCCATTTTCTTGCCTAAATTTATCCAATTTTTCCCGCATTGTTTTCATATTTTGGTGAAGTCCTCCCGAGGCCAGATGGCTGGCCAACCGCGAGAAGGGCCCACTCCTGGAGGTCGCCGACTCGTCCCCGGTCTCGCCCGATTCGTCGCCGAAGAGTCACTGGGAACTATGTTTATTGACTGTTATTTATATGTGTCATGTAGATTTATGCATATATATAATATACTGTAATATATATATATAAATATATATATATATAAATATATATGATATAATACAATATGATATAATAAAACTATCATATAGTAAAGAATAGTACAATATAGTATAATATAATATAATATAATATATAATATAATATATATATATATAATATAATATAATATACTATAATATAATATAGTAAATTATAGTATAATACAATATAATGTAATGTAACATAACATAATATAACATAGTACACTACAATATGATATAATATACTATAATGTCATATAGAATAATACAATGCAATACAATATGATATAATACAATAGAATATGATATGATATAATCTTATAATGTAATATGATATAACATAACATAATAGAATACACTATAATAGAATACAATATTATATTACTATATAGTATATAATAAAATATAATACAATGTTTTATAATATGATATAATATGATATGCTATAAAAGACTATAGTATACTATAAAGTACTGTAATATACTATGATATACTATGATATACTATGATATACAATGATATAGCAAAATATACTACAATATACTACAATATACTATAATATATTATAATATACTATAATATACTATAATATACTATAATATACTATAATATACTATAATGTGCTATAATGTACTACATATACTATATTATAATATACTATAATATACTATAATATACTATAATACATTATATTATACTACATTATATTATATTATATTATTTCATATTATATATACACATATACATACACATACATATAATATGTACACATTCTATATACCATAGATGTATTTATATGTAGACTTTCTATATACCATGTCTGTATGTTGCGCAGTATGTGTGTGTGTATGTGTATATCCCATAAAACATATTACAAGAGACATATGAAATAGTGTACGACCAGTGGTTTTCTGCGCCTGCGAAGCTACAGAACTTGGCCATGGGTCGATGTTCAGCGCGAGTGAGGCGAATTGGATTCAGAAATTGATCCAGATATTACATTTCTACTTTCTCCAAGAATCTCAAGATCATCCCTGAAAGACTTTGGCAGAATCATGGTTCCTCCAGGATTCTTCAAACATTTCTGCATCCTGAGGTGACAAGGAGCCTTATCCTCGACCTGGCAGGCCATTCAAGCGCAGGTGGCTGCCTGTGTATGGCCTCTTGACTCGGGGCTCCCGGAGCTTGGGAATGTGCGGAATTGAGGGTTCTGGAAACCGGTTTCAAGGAAAATCTAAAGGATCCCCTCACGTTTCATAGTCAAACTTAGAATTTCCGATGTTCCTTTAAATCAAGGTATTGACGCATGGCATCAGGACTGATCATGCTCGTGGCCCTGGGACTTCTGCACTTTGGCCGTGATTCTCCCAGCTGCGAGTCTCAGCTGTTCAGGGGGTTGGCTCTGAGCTGAGCTGAGTCAGGGAGGAGCAAGAATGGGATGAATGGGATGAATGGGATGAATGGGATGCAGATGATGGTTGAAGGCAAAACCTTGTTGCTGATGTTGCTGATGTTGATACTTTCATTGATCCTAAAAAACAAACTGAATCCATCTCCACGCAGATGGAGGTGGCAAGGTTCACCCAGGTGTATACATGGGATCTCTTCGGGCATTTGGAAGTTTCCTAGAATGGGGGTACCCCAAAACCATGGGTTTCCATATATATATATATATACATATATATACTAAAATGGTCTAATTTTGGATGAATTGGGGTACCACTACTTTAGGACCACCCCATTTGTGGATGTACAACTGTCTTGAACTGAAGAGTTTTGTTCATCCGGTACGTGTGACTTCAGTATTTGCGTTTTTTGGGGTTTGGAACTGTGCTGGGTGGTTCACCCATTTGTGACCTCATTTGGGCTCAGTAGGGGCCAATTTGCTCAGGAGATAGCTTACATGCTGTGTGCATCGCTTCTGGCTTTCGTCTTGGGCAATTCGATGCCTGCCAAAGCCAAGTCGATGCTCGGCCCGAAACTGAACGATGAGGCAGACTGGAGGGAAAAAAATGGTCGAATGACGATCCAAAGAGGTTGTTTTATCTCTAGATTATTGTATTCATACAATTCTGGGGAAAAAAATCCTGACCCACCTGATCACTAAAGCCTTGATTGATTCCCTTTCCGTCGTGAACCTGACAGCCCAATGACAAGTGACCTATCGTCACCGGAAGAAGAGGAAACCATTGATAAGGGCATAGTCCCTTGATGGGAGCCTTCAAACCCCTTAGGCTACGAATACACTTGACGGGGAAAGCAGGATTCTCCCAGAAGATCTGCTTGTTTCACACCCAACGAAATCATAAACCCTTGCTTCCGCCAAACAAGTCATGCGTTACTATCGGAAATGGCACCCGCCTTTTTGCCATGAATATGATGCAACAGCACACAATCATATGATATATAAATATATAATTATACAACATGATATATTCGTGGACATAAGCAGACTCAGGATCTTTCATCCCATCTTCGCCGGTGTCCTGGGCTCCTGGTTGGCCTTGGCCCTGTGGGCCCAGCAGGATGAGACCCGTAGTTTCAGAGAAGTCCTGGTGACGTACAGTTCCCCCGGTGGTGCTGGGCCGCTCATGTCCATGCTTTTGAAACTTGGCAGTACTTCAAAGGGGAGGAGTTTCATGTATACATATACATATGTATATATATATAATATCAAATTCTCTTATATTATATACATATAGTATTACATATATGTATATATATATACACACACACGCGGAAGATTTCAGAATTATGAGCCATGCCACACCCATTGAGCCATTTGCACTCTTTAATTATTCTAATTCTCGGCATGTAAACAATTGGTCCATGAGTCCATAATCAATGGAAGATAGTTGCATAGTGAACCACGACCAACATGGGCGGGTCTAACCTTGCTTTATTTTTACAGGATTTTACAGATGTGCACACCGCCCAGATTTTGAACACGCCCAGATCTTGTACCATGAAGAGTACCCACTAAATCGTCAGTAGTATTGCTTTGGTTACGACTAGTTATAAGTTGTAAGATGTATTGCCTACATGATGTCAGTTCAGCTTTGTCCGTGACAGATGCCTATCTCCTATTGATGCTTTGGCCCCCCTCATCTATTTCCGGTTGGTTCTATGCCATAGTCTTTTTTCCTTCAATCCCCGGTAATGCGATGATTATCACATCATCTCCAATTTTAATGGTATCTTTCATCAGTTGTAAGAAGTACTCCATTCCCATCCATCCCCAAAACAGGCCCGCAGGTAGAGCCCAAGGATGTTCTAACCTTGGCAAACCATTGGGTCTTACCGTAATGGATTCAACCTCCCAGCCACCGTGGCCCAGCGAAGGAATCCGCTAGTGGTGGCCCTGGCGCTGCTGCTCTTCGAGCGCCGGAAGCTGCTCCGACGCGATCGAAAGCTGATCATTGGCCGCTGGGGCGGGCGTGGAGATTCCCCATGGGAGCGGTGATGAAAGGCACTGCTATGGTGATTGACTGTAAGAACAAGAATATCCTATTTGTTAGGAATGAACAACTCAACAATCTGGATAAAGTATGTCGCGACCTCATGAAGCGACATCATTGGAATGATGATTTGGATAGGGGTGAATGATTGTAGTATCTGGGTGGTGATTTAAGCATGGGAGGTTTGCTGATTTTTAGCCATTCACCAAAGTCTTTTTTTTCCCATATGTTGATGGTTAAATCACCTATATTTTGACGTGGGTCAACTTCAAAATCATTGGTTGGTCAACTACCCGCATTTCACCAATCTGGAATGGCAAAGCTTTGTGCGCAATACGCAGAACTCAACAAAGCCTCCTAACTTTTCCAGGTATTAAAAAAAACTCAACAAGAATATCTTAGCCATTTCCAAAATTTCCACGAATCTCTAAATATCCTAGCCAATTTCCCTACACATTAAAGTTGTCAGTTCATCTCTAGATTTTTCCAACCACTTTTTGTTCCCACGGTGCTTCAGCGTTACGCAACGAAGGTACCTCGTTGCTGGGTGCCGTCTCGGGCATTTTCGGCACCGCTCTGATGGTCGCATGGCGATCGACCTCGGGAAAGATGTTCGGCAGCTGCATGTCATGTGGATTGTATAGAAATGATCCAAGAGTATGCTATATAAATAAATATATATATAATTATATATATAATTAAATATATACATATATAATTATATATATATACATATAAACACACATATGATCTTCCAGATTCAGAAAAACAATGGATAAAAAGGATAAGATGATGCTCCACGTCGAATTTAAAGGGGCTGCGAACCAGGCGGGACATTGCTGTTGATACAGAACACGACATCGGGACTTTGTTTATTTATGCACCAAACAAGCACTGCGGACATCACAAGCGCCATTTGGGATGGTTCAATTTTCACCCATGAATGGTAGGTTATTGGACATGGTTGATTGTTTGGGCATATCCCATTAACGCTTTAAACGAGCGATTTTCCATGACGTTTCTTTACTAAGGTGGTCAACAATCTTGAGCCCACAACGACTTCCAAATTCCAACGAAACCAGGTCGTAGAACCCAAGAGGTGTATCAAGAACCCAAAAAATAATACCAACTAAACCAGGTACAGATATATACCATTTGATTGTGATGATAGAACCCCAGATGGCTATGGCTTTATACCCTGCTAAACCATGAGGTGCCACGGGGCCAGGGAACCCACCATGAACATGTCCGCACGGGTAAGTGTCGGTTCAAACTCGCATCCTTTTCATAGGTTTCCATCTCTTCATTTGTTTTTGGTTGGTGAATTTCAATGCATTTGTTTCAACATCCAATTCCAAAGTTTCAATACATAGACATATATCATCATATATCATAATCCGCATTATATATATAATTATATATATATAATTATATATATATACACATACATATACATGTATGTATATATATACACATACATATACATGTATGTATATATATATACATACATATACATGTATGTATATATATATGTATATCTATATATACATGATCATATATGTATGCATATGTATGTAATATATGATCTCGTGTCTCGTGTTCACGGCCCACCCACCACCCCCCACCATATCCACAGGGGGTGATACAATGACATATACACACAGATACAAATTCATACTGCATATATTTGCACATACACATACTGCATACGTATATACACACCTGTGTGTGTAGGTATATATATATATTTATATATATATGTATACTACTTACACACACACACATACACACATACATACATACATACATTCATACATACATATATACATGGATACATGGATACATGGATACATGGATACATGGATACATACAGACATACAGACATACAGACATACACACATACATACATACATGCATGCATGCATGCATGCATACATACATACATACACACACATACACACATACATACACACATACAACATACAACATACATAATACATACATACATACATGCATGCATGCATGCATGCATACATACATGCATACATGCACACATCCACACATCCACACATCCACACATACACACATACATACATACATACATACATACAGACATACAGACATACAGACATACAGACATACAGACATACAGACATACAGACATACACACATACACACATACACACATACACACATACACACATACAGACATACAGACATACAGACATACAGACATGCATGCATGCATGCATGCATGCATGCTTGCATGCTTGCATGCTTGCATACATGCATACATGCATACATGCATACATGCATACATGCATACATGCATACATGCATACATGCATACATGCATACATGCATACATGCATACATACATACATACATACATACATACATGTATACTACTTACACATATATATATATATATGTATCTATATGTATATATATACAATTAGATATAGATATAGATATAAATTATATATATATACACATATACTGTAGATGAACACATACTTGTATGATCTTGTATATATCCATCTACATCCAGGGACCATCACCATCTCGAGGGAAACCATCTCGGGGGGAGGGGGGACCACTTGAGGCGCGGCTTTTGCAGCTGCCGGGCCCCTTGGCCAAGCCCACGGTGGGGCGCTACTGCACTGCGCCCTTGGCCCTGGCAGCGTCTTGGGCTTGGGAGTCAGAGGATGACGGATCTGAAAATGGGAAACATAAGGGTTTTGGATGGTTTTTAGGATGTAAAAGTGGTGCCAAGGCCACTGTTAACTATGGCTCATAATGGTTAGTAATGGGTATATAGCCGCTATAGCCAACAATAATGGATATCAGGGAACCATATAATTAATGGATATGTGGGAAAGCCGATGCCATAAACCTACCATAAAAGTGGATGGTTTATACCCATAAAAGTGGTGATTTTGGAGATGGTTTATTGTTGGGTTTACTGGGATTTATAGGATTAATTTACTATGAATGATGCTTTATTTTTTGACCAGTACATGGCTACTAATTACTATTCTTAATAACATTTTCTGGATTGATTAGAGTGGGATTAATGAGGGTAGTGTCCTGTTAATGATGATTTACTGGTAACAATTAATAATTGAGAATGGTTTGTAATGGCAATATAACCATTTATATCCATTTATGGATAAGATCACTATTTTTCTTTTTAAACGAGAATTGTAAAATAACAACTATCCACTGGTGAATGGCGGGAGCGGTGAACTGAGCGGTTGGGTATCCATATTCCCAACAAATGGGGAGTCCTGCGAAGCTAATTGAGGCGTCACCATTTTTAATGGGAATGATTTTTTTGGGATTATATGTGATTAGTACCTTCAATGGATCGGTTTTTGAGGAAACATCTACTAGAAACCATGATTCTAACCATGAAAAAGGGAGCTTTGTTGCAAAACATCCTGCATCCAGTCCAATCAAGAATAATCTATGTAAGCCTTAGTGACTTCATGAAGGGTCATCTCAATGATGCCACCTGAGATACCATAACTTGTGTTTTTTCTGTCAGAAATGGGGAACAACATACCAGAATACAATACCCAAATACCACCATTTATGGTCATTACTGGGAAAAGGACATTTACCGATGGTTTGAGTTAAAAAGCGGTGTTGTTACCAATCATTGGTGATGAAGGTGGGGATTTCAAGAATCAACAACACAACTTTAAAACCAGATGCAGTTTATATATAGATATAGTGCAAGTTCAAATTTTGACTCAATTCACAGATGTTGACCATCCACTGGTTCACAAGCCTGGTGATCGTAAGTCCCTAGTGGATTATTCCATTTTTAAATGGGGGAACTAACCCCAGTTACTATTAGTTGTTGCGACTTTCCAACGACATCTCCTGAGAAAAAAAGGTGGCGGGGAACATCTCCGCGTCGCCGCCTTTGACCGTTGCCATGGCCGGGCCCAACTGGCGGAATGGGTTGGGGAATGGGTCAGCTATGATCCATTGAGGGGATAAAATCTTTGATCATTCCACAGAGACGGGTTGCCATTGGCCTTTGTAAAGACGAGGGGTTGCCACTTTAAATGGAGCTAGCGGATACCGGTTGGGTCGTTTTCTCAACCACTTGGTTTGGTTTATGCCCATCCCATTCCAAGGGTTTATTTCTAAATCCGATCAGTCATGATTTCCGTCTAGAGAAAAATACAATTCTCCCTCCAAAAAGTGATAGACACTGCCGTGTTGTGGGAGCGTTTTTCCCCATTTTCCAACCACAAGCCCCTTGGACCTTCAAAACAAAAAGGACGATCTGATTGATATTCACATATATGAACTTGTATAATATATATATATATGTATATACACATAAAAGTTACTATATCATCATCGTTTCCCCGGGTTTCTGTCGTTTTTGTCCCTCCTTTTTTTGCGCCGTGCCCGTCACCGTGGCGCGGCAGGTCGTGGCCAGCGGCTTCGTCGGCATCTTCGCGGCGCAGCCGCTGCTGGCGCGGCTGCAGGTGACCAAGAGCCGCGAGCGGGGCCTTGCCATAGGACGCCAACGCGAAAAGAACGGAGATGGGATGAACACATGAGGTGATCAAAAAAAGTTTCTATATAATGTATACATATAATTACATATATTACACACATATATATATGTAATTCTAATTAATTATATATATATACACATATGTACCACATAAATAAAATGTACTATATATTGTATACACATATTATGAACAGTATGCACATATGCATATATATATATAAATAAATATGTGTATATGTATATATATGTATAATTAGACTTATACGAAACCTGTTGAGCTTTCACCAACCCTTGGGACTCAAATCAAAATTGCTACACGTTAGGGCCGAATCCGAGACAAAGCGAGATATCATACTTTCATTAGACTTAGACATGTCCCAGTAAATATCTCAGATATTGGATACTATAGGATTGTGGGTTTGACACCTACATTAATATCCCACCAACTATGTCCCACTACCACCATAGCAACATGGCATACTGTAATGTTGGATGTATTCCAATCATGTTGTTGGTGATACTCATCCCATGATATTCAAAGGACACATTCCAGTAAGTATCCCAATTGGGTTTGCCTGAAAATGTGGTTGATCCTTTACTGGTTTATCATCATTTTCCCTGTCAAAATTGCCATGAATCGGCGGTGTACAACATTTTCAGACACACCCATATACCATACATAGTTATCTATGTTATATAACAAGTAAACATACCATATAACATTTATCATATACCAGTGTAAATATTTTCCTTGTCCCTTGATATCTAAAAAAACACGTCCCTTGCTATGCATTTTCGTTGAATCGGTTGAATCCCGATCTTGCATGGTTGAATCCCCCCATTTTTTTCGCCAAATTCTCATGGTTGGTTGGAGTGAAACATCCTAATTTCCCAATGATATTCCCATTACAACGCCAGTAAAATGCATCTGGTTATGGATCAAAACTCTGTTCCCCTTAAGTTCACCCTAAATTGTTGGGTTTATGGATGTTCATCCCCCAGAAATTATGGGATATCCCATACATCCGTAAACATCCAACTTATAGCCATATCCCGATCAGCGAAATGAGCTGGCAAATTATGGGCTGGCCCCAAATCTGATGCTTCAGCACCATTTTTCCCTGCAAAAACAGGCCATAAATGTCCCACTAGCCATCCCACCAGGAGCCGTGTCACACGTGCTGGGCACAGTTTCCCTAGCCAGCTGGGACGAGAAGGCAGTGCCCTACAGTGCCCTGTGCTTTGACCCTTGGTGTCTTTTGAATGGCTAAAAACTACACGAAACAGTGGGAAATCACTTTTTTTGTTGAACAATTGAACTACCAAAGTTGTGGGTTTTGTTTTTTTGAATGGTCTAACGGTTTAAATATGTTTTTAGCCCCCGCAATTGGGGGATGTCAATGATAAGTAGGTTATACCATGCTTGATTTTCATGGATATATAACAACGCTAGTTGTATAACGAGTTGCGCTGAACCAACTTTATAACTGGGGGGTCCTTCCCGCGGGGGAAGCTGGAAAGAAATGGGACCTGGATTCAGGGAGGTTCGGATCACATCTGGAGGTTTCCTAAAATGGGGGTAACCCAAATCATCGACAATTAATCACAATTTGACCGTTTTAGTATTGAAACCCATGGTGACTTGGGGATCCCCATTTTAAGAAACCCTCATCTGTGGGGGTTGATACCAAAACTATCTGAACCATAAGAAGCGCCCTCTCCAACCCGCGCCACCAAACGGGCTTAGAACTGTGGCCACAAATGTTGTGAGCAGCGCATGATCCACCGGCAAAGCAGAAGCAGCATGCTCCGCAGATCGCCTACAAAATGCGGGTTGATTCCCACTTTTAGGAAGCGGTTGATAATCTATATGCTACTGGAGTATATCATCTTCTATAGAACTTTTTTGGTTTGTTTTAATGTGGGATTCACCTTTTTTCCGTTGGCTAATATCCGCATTTCGGGTCATTTATGTCGATTAAGTATGAGGAACATGAGGTTTTATACTTTGGGAGTGTTAGGTTTTTCCAAAATTATCAGACAAACAATATTCCCACTTAGGAAGTGCTGAATAATCCGTTTACTTGGGCATATCATCCCATATATAACTGGCTCATAACATTTTTTTTGGTGAGTGTGGGCTTATGAATAGTGCGAATCTTAAGCACCAACAACCACTGATAATTTTCGTAGCCACAAGCGTCTATTCTTATTGATCATCTATTATCAAGGGCTTATTAACCGTAGCCACTAATGATAAAGGCTTATTAATCAGAACTATACCCTCCAGTAATCAAACGCGGCAGTGGAAAATTCACAATTGATGATTTTCCCAGCTAGAAACCTTCATTTTTTTTACGGGGATTTCCCACCTGGCCATGTTTGATTATCGGAGGGTATACATATTATAGATGATAGATTATTGCTAATATGTATATATATATACATATACTGTATATATACATACATATGTACATACATATACACATACATACACATGGGTGTTTTTTGAAAATGGGAGATCACCAAGTCAGCATGGGTTTCAACACTAAGCCACGGTCGAATGGTTTGGATGATGTGGGGGTACCAGGTCTTGGCCAGCGGCTCCACTGCCGCCTTCACTTCGTTGCCTCCGGTGCAAGCGCTGCTCCTTTGGATCCTACCCGCGTGAGCTCCGAAAGGTCTTGGGGATAGGTCCACCTGCATCCTCCCACTGGGGAATAACCACAGGTAACCATACGTAACCAGAGGCAACCATAGATGACCAGCCCAGTAACATGTCAGAAACCACTAAACTGGGACATCCAAGTATTCCGGATGCGTTAAATAGTCGAAACGACCAAGATTCCAGTGATTTTTGAGGTGTGACATTTTGGTCAGCCATTTGGGTGTCCTCTTGAACTTTTGCACTTTTTGGACGTTTGCACTTTTTCTGGTACTGTTCAGCTCGGTCTATGGATGCTACTATGTGCTACTATACCCTTTGTGCATCAGAAATTATTGAAATTGCCAACCCACCAGAAGAGTCACAATTCTCCACACAGCGAACTGCAAAGCATTCGTTCGACTGATCGGAGAGAACCCAGGGACACACCTACTATTCAGTTCCTGTTTGGTTCATGTCAAGCATTCCTTTCAATCAATTAACGGCAACCAAGAGTTTCTCGGATGGGCTTGTAAGACCTTGTGAGAATTTCCATTCTCTTGGATCCAATGAGATTGTACGAGCACGTGCAGACCCATGAAGGGATTGACAGATTTTGAACGAGATTGTATGTGTTTTCCCGAACACACACACACAAAGTTTCCATGCTGAAATCTTCGTTGGTGGGTTCTCCAATGATGTGTCCCTGGGTTAATTCCGCCAAAATGTGCCCAATGTGCCGACAAAAAGGTGCTGCAATTGCAACCTTGGCGGAGAGTTCCTAAAGGCCTTTCTTTTTGGATTATCCCTCCTATGTATTTGAATAGATTGTCAAGTGCACATGCGCGTACAAATATGTTCGAACCGATAGCAACTGATAGTACTTTCTGATAGATTGGATTGAAAGCGCGGACGAGACGTTTCTTGAATATCATTACCCACACGTTTGTATCCTCAAACAGCACACCTTTTGAAGACTCCTGGCCAGAAACGAACTTGTGTAGTATAGAAAGTCTTTTCTGCACTTTGACCAGCCAATTTACGGGGATTGTACTCCATTTGGCTGACCCACCATAAGATCGTATGTTAACCTTCTTCCCTTTTTCCCCAAAAAACAAAAAGAAGAGGGGAAATTCACCAGGTCCACACTCATTTCACCATTGTTTCACCGTCATTTCACCATATGTTCTCCACCATGTTCTCCACCAAGCACTTCAGGATCAGTCGAAGCCGTTGTTCGAGGACTTCTTGAAGAAGAGAGGCATTGAGTTTTGGCCCACCGCGGCCAACTTCATCTTTTGCTACTTCTCTGAGCCTGTGCGCTTGGACTCTGGGCCATGATGGGCCATGATGGGCCATGCTGATGGGTGCAACATCTTGAAACCAGGGATGATCATAGAGAAATGGCTTCGCAATTCCTCAGGATCTGAACAGTCAGATTTAAGCTCCATCTCAGGCATCTCAGGCCTATTTTCAGGCTCATTTGGAGATCTCTCATAGAGAAGTCGAGACTTGGCTTGCTAAATCTCATCTCAGGAGAGCGCATTGCGGGAGAGAGGCATCCTGGTCCGACCAAAGAAGGAGCAGCTGGAAGTGATGTAAAATGATCAAACCCCAGGTTGGCAGAGAAACCACCAAGAGCAACAGACCACGAAAGGGGGGAGGATGTCTTGGGAGGACCCAACTTGCAGAATCCGACATCTGGGTGTGTCCGAAAATGGGTTATAAAATGGGTTATACCGTACCAATGGATACCATATTTCCAAACCAACTCGATTGGTCTGGAAATTTCTCCATGGACGCGCCTGATCCCTCTTTGGAACTGCTCTGTGGAGGCAAGTCATGAGTTTTTCGAAGGGTAAACAAGCTGATGGGTTGTACACCACTTGATTGCTCAAAATTTTTGTTTGGCAATGATAAGTCGATCCTTGTCATGGATAGCTCAACTGCAATCATACAGTCCCCACTCTGAGGTAGGGACACCCCCCCGCGAAAAAAGAGGGGCGCCCAGCTTCAGGACCACAAGGGCGTCCTTGGCCTTCGTGTCAGCTTCGGCACGGTGGAACAAATGAAGCAGGTGATTCAAGCCATGGAAGAGCCACTTGGCTGTGACCTTTGAGGACCTGCACTCCATGGGAAAAATCCTAAAATGGATGATTTGAGGGTACCCCCATTTCAGGAAACTTCCACATTCAGTCACCAGGGCCACCAGGGGTCCGGTACGGTATGTTCTGTTCCTCTGCTCACATGGCCGAGGCTTCTTTGACGTACAACCTTGAGCGGCTGGAATAGGCCGGTTCGATTTTCTTGGCCGGGCTCGGGAGTAAGGAATGGGAAAGAGCTGACATTTGTCAAGCAAAGGACTTTTGTTGGCGTTTCAATGATGGCATGATCCACACGCACCATGTCAAACCTGGATCAACAGACCCTGGTGGATCAACTCAGTGTTCGCCACCGCACTATCCACTTAACCCGCGCCTGCCAGCTTTTGTGGCCCGCCCTCGTGGTCCACTGTGTTGCGTGACACATATCAACTGGGTATGTCCAAGAAAACGTTGGGGAAGCCCTGAGAACTCAACTATGGCAATGTCCTCAGAATTTTTGGATTGCTCCATTTTGGTACACAAAACACATCCATCTCCCCAGAACATGGGGATCTTCAATCCCAACTTGATGGTTTATGATGGTTTATTTTCGATGCCAAAGTAATTCCATTGGGTCTAACCAAGTCTTTTGGACATCCCCAAATCTCTTCTCTAGATCTGGCTCAGCACACTGCTCTGAGCAAGAAAAAGGAGGTGAAAGGGCAGCGGGACTGGGGGAACATGTTTTCGGGTGTGGATATGTGTGGATCAGCCCCCTGATCCTGGGAAGATGGAACAATCCTGCCTTTCTGCAAAGATGGAAATGAAATGAAATGAACACATCATTTTCAAGCAATAAATCATTTTCAAATGGATGATTTTCCCTTGCTACGTTTTCTTTAACAAAAGGGTACACACCTTCTTGCCAAGTCTATACGTGTCGGTCTGCCTGATGATTGCCGTTGTGAACCAGAGGCATGCCCAGTTCAGATGAGGGCAGAACATGGCTTTTACACACCACTCAGAACTTGGACTTTGAATAGCAATTGTTTTGTTTGGGTGAAACCATGTCAAAGCTGGGATGCACTTATGATACCATCTACATCCATCTACCAGGTTACAACATGTTACAACAACCTTCAGGGATCCTGGATACATCCGGATACCACGTGCGTCATGGATGTCATGGCGTCGCCGTCGCCCGTGCCGCGTCCTGTGTGGACCCGCGCCTGTGACGGCCTGTCGTGGCCGTTGAGCCTGTCGTCACGGCCAAAGGTGCTGGGCTCGGTCTCTTGGCACTGGTGACAGGGTGACATAGCATGAGTGGTTGAAGGTTTTAAATATTGGATATCGGTGATGAAACAACACTAATGTCACTAATGGGTTGTAGGATCATATCAATTTATCCATCTATCAATTCATCAACCTATCAATCTATCAACCTATTCCATTCTATTCTATTCTAATCTATATAACCTAAATTTAATCTAATCTAATCTAAATCAAATCTAATCCCATCCTATCCTATCTACATGGAATTATTTACTAAATTTACGAATGGAGACATAACTCTCAACACGTCTCAAAGAGAAGTTTCAGATCGGTCCAGGATGACAACCCATGAACTCAAGCGATTCACGCTCGTTTTCCAGGACGACTTGAAACGGCCAGATGTTTAGATCTCCATGTAATTCCATGTTATTCCATGTGATTTTCCTTTGTTTTAGATGACTATGATGACTTGAATTGACGAGGGGAGATGGCGGCAATGTTTACGCTACTTGACAAGCTGGGCATCACTGTAGAAAAGGTCACTTGTCACCATTTTTCTGGTGATCGACGCTTTCTTGGGACAGATCCAGAGCCCAATGCAAAGTTGGCCAAGAGCATTCAGCATTGTTCTAGAGTGGAACATGGAACCTTAACATTGCACTTAAACTTGTTCGGATTTGGTCAGATAGAGCGAAGTTGGGATGGTTTCAAGTTCAAGTCGTCTTTTCCCACGTCTTTCTGTTGGCATTTGGCATCTACCAGCAGCCCATTTCTGGGAGTTTTTGAGTCCCAACAGATCGCTAGGTCCCTCCCCGGCACTGGCGCCCCGTGGCTGCGCTCCTCGCCCTGCGCGCCTTACGACGCCGGGTGGCGGGGCTGGTGCTGCTGGCGCCGATTTCGACGAAGGCCGAGATGGTGGAGGCGGTGGAGGCGGTGGAACTGGGGGAGAAGCTGGCCCCAGAGGAGGGGCAGTTGCTTGGAGTTGGGGAGTTGGTGACTGGGATTTCTAAATCTGTTTGGATTTTTCATGGTGAAAGCAATTGGATTTGGGATACTGCAGAGACTGTACCCCCCAATTTTCGGGAAAGACCAAATGGCTGTGCCCAGAACATTGTTGCCGGGGGAATAACGTGTATGGGTAAAAATTCTTGGAGCCGAAATGGATGATATGAGACTAACATGACAAATTTTGTGGGCCCAAGGGCACGACTTGACCCATAGAAAGCGTGGCAAGCGATCTATTGGAGAGGGGAATTCAATTGGTCAGAAATGGGTACTGACGTTGGGACGTATCCACAAAGTCGGGGTGTTTGGAATATGGGCAATTTTAGCAATGGTGAATGAGGTAAATCCAAATCGTTCATAATTCTTGCTGGTGACCATCCTGTAAACTAACACAGATGTGGAGCTTACTCACCATGAAAGTAGATCATTGTCCAAACTGGTTCTCCATGGTTGTTTTCCATATCTTTTTGTATGTTTACCCTAGGGTAAAGCATGTTACTCTAGGGTAACGTAACATAGATGTAGAACATCACAATTTTCCATAGGTAAATCATCAATGGGCCAGCTTCCACATCTATGTTAGTTTACCCCAGGGTAACCCATGTAAAAACCCAACATTTTTGCCTCCACGGCGACAGGACTGGCGTAGCTTTCCCAGCAACTTCCTTTGGGGCGTCGCCACAGCAGCCTTTCAGGTGGAGGGTGCGGTGACGGAAGGGGGCCGCGGGCCGTCCATTTGGGAGACTTGGAATGCGCTGATGACCTGAAGATGTGTCAGTTTATATATATATATATGGATGGATGGATGGATGGATGGATGGATGGATAGATGTTTGGAAATGGGGTATACCTCCAATTACAGCCCAGCTAACCTTTTATGTCATAGGGAACCTGATGATTAACCAGGTTTGCATCCATAGCTCCCAGCCATTTTCGGGATCCGGGTACCAGGGTTTTGACCATAGCCACCTGGAAGATTTTGGGTACTACCAACATTGGAAAAAGAATTGGAAACTGGCAGGGCTCAAAATTGATGACCCACAAACTTGGATGTTGGGTACGAAATATGACCAATTTGGTGGGTCCATTGCCATTTGTTAACCATAGTGGCTGTGGAATCAAACCCCCGCAACCTGGTGAACATGCTGTTCTATAGATTCCCATCCCCCCAGGTTATCATAGGTTTTGACTCAAGTGATTCATAGACCAATGTATAGGCACAGCACTGCGCGCAATCGTTTTGTGACCGTCCGAGCTTGGAGTGAAAAAAGAACCGATTAAGGTGGGAATATCCTAGCATAGAAAGTTGTGGACAAAACTTGGAATTGACAAACATGGGGCAACAGCAGTGTATCCATCAAAACTAAGGGATAGAATAGACGATTATGATTCATGATTTGTCTACACAAAACAAAGTGACAAAGGCAGCAAACATCAGGAAAAACTCACACAACTATAGGGAATGGAAGCAACAAACACGGGTATAGTGTAGCGACAGAACAAACGAAATACGGTACCACCAGCAAACATAGGGGACAGAAGCACAGATTCCCATTTGGAAAAGGGCCTGACCAGCTTGACAGATTGGAAGTTACGACAATCTGGCAAAAAGCAACACGGCAATGGAAGATACATGCCCCAAGGTGGCAAGGGGACTACAGTAATCCCACAGATGGCCTTCATATTTGTCAAACAACAATACCCAGATGGTTGCGGTGTTTCAACAACAAAGCTTGATGTGGATGATTCTATCCTATGAACGGAGAATCGGAGACCTGCACAGTTGATGGCTGACTGCTACATCCTGCAACCATTCTGCAGCAGCATTAACTTACATACGGCTAGATGAGATGACATGACATGAGATGAGATGAGATTTAGATTACTGCAGATAAGATTATATAGATGAGATTAGCTAGATAGCTAGATGGCTAGATTCATCACAACTCTGAATGGTTCAAGCCTGTCCTGTGGAGTTGTTTTGAGGGGGTCATTGTTTGGGCCCCAGGCTAGGCGGCTAGACCATCTACTTGGTGGTTCCAAGTCTGTTTCCACCTTCCATCACAACTGGAGGATGATCTTAAATTACTACAGTTCTGTAAGAGTCTTGGGATGGTTTGAAACTCACTTTTTCTCTAGGGTGAATGGCTCCAAGCCACCAAAAAAACAGCCATGTTTCATTTTGTCATGTTTTTGGTGACTTCGCCACATGGAGTTATTTTGCATATTGGATTTCATGGGAGGTGGGGTTTGGGGTGGGGTGGGCAAACCATAGAGGATGCGAAGTCCCTGACCATGGAAAAATGCAGGAACATGCTGGAAGGGCTGGAAGGAAATCCACTTCCTCCAATAGCCCTTCCAGAGGATTCAACGCTTCGACATGGATAGAATTATAGAATTATCATAAAACATTCAAAGCATGACATGTGCGATGTGAAGTTTGTTCACAACGCTTCCAAACATACGACCTCCAGGCCCAAGGGCCGTGTGTTGCCCAGGACACCTTTTCCCACGTGAAGGGCAACATCGATGGTGATGCCACCGCGGATGTGGCCTGCGATCATTTCCATCGCTACAGGGAGGACATTCAGCTGGTAAAGCGCCTTGGAGCCAAGGCGTATCGTTTTTCGATCTCATGGTCCAGGGTGCTTCCAACGGGAAGGATTCAAGGAGCGATGTGGAGATGATGAGAAGCCAATTCGTGCTTTGAAGAACATATAGATAGAACATGACCAATTGATCATAATTTATCACTAGTTTGGTGGGATTGTGCTTTTCTATTTTTTTGGAGGTTGCTATCTAGATACTTGTAGGATTTTGGTTTTCTCTAGGTGAACAAGGCCACAACTTTCAGAGACTCGAACCTCAAACATCTGCTCCACCCCACACTCCGGGTGGGGAAAGGTGCCTTTGCCAACGGTTGCCATAGGAGGCATCTCTGCAGAAGGCTTGGCTTTCTACGAAGATCTCTGTCGAGAAGCCTTGGCCAATGGAATCTTGGATGATGGATGTGATGGATGATGGAATTTGATGCCACATATATATATAATATACACATAATATATATATATGTATATATATATATCTATATTTGTACACATATATATATATACATATGTGCATATATATAATGTATACAAAGGTACATCCATATATATATACATGTATGTATGTACGTATGTATGTATACAAATGTCATTCCACATATATATACATACATACCCATACACACACACATATATGTTATACATATATATATATACACATCGATATATGGATGTATGGATGTATGGGTATATGGATATATGTACATATATGTATATACAGTAGATATGGACATATGTATGTATATATGGATACATGGATATATGGTCCAAGCTATTTGGCACTTACCACAGCGCCAAATTCTTCGTCCCCGACCCCGACCCCACCTCCGATTCACCACATTTCACTCTCCAAAGAGGTATCCGACAGGGCTGTCCACTCAGCCCATATCTCTTCAGTATTGTTGTTTCCGCCCTCACCTCAGATGTAAACACCTTTTTGCAGGATATTTTTCCTATACTCCTTGGACCTACTCTACGGCACACCCTCTTACCGACGTTGAATATGCAGATGATACTGTCCTCGTCGCTCGTACACAAGAAGATACTCTATCGCGGCTCTTTCATCTTCTTCAACACATGGCCGCCCAAATCGGGCTTCTACTCAATGGCTCCAAATGTCAGCTCCTGTCCTGTGTATCCATGCCGCTTTTCCTGTCTCTCTTTCTCTCTGTGCCGATGCCTTCCATCACTGCGATTTTCCCCACTGCATCCCTTTCTTCTCAGCCGCTCCTAATCCTTCATCCATGGACGTTCCTCTTGCTCCTCTCAAATCTGCCAAGTACCTTGGTTCTTGTATCACCCCTACCTCTTCCTCTATTCCAGACGTCAACTTTCGATGCTCTGAAGCCTCCTCTGCTTTCAAGTCCCCGATCACCTTTTTAGACGTCCTCTCATTTCCCAAACATTTAAGCTCCAAGTCTATTCACACGTTGTCCATCTACAGTGTACTGTACTTCTTCATGGCTCAGAATCTCAAGTCTACTCCCCGGCTCAAATTTCTAAAATCGACTCTAAGAACGGGCTGAGTTGGTGCACCGGGTACACCACCTCAAAGATGGCGCCTGGCTGGCGGCACTTTGATGGTGGGGCCGGTTGCGGTATTCATTACCGCGACCCGGCGGGGAACCTCCGGTGGAAGGCGCCAGGTTGGCATGAATCTGGTTAAACCCTATTACCACCGTGCCTTACAACCCGCTGACTCACCTTGTTCTAACGAATGTTTACTTTCACTCCCATATCCAATCCTTCCTTTTTGCATTCCTTCCTCTATTCGCATTTCGTATTCTCGCATTAAATACATCGGACATCATCGGACATGTTTCTTCGACATCCTACTTCGCCAGAATTCGATATCTGCTTTAATACTGTAATTCTCGCTTCCTTCGGACTATTTCATCTCCTTTCAGACGAGGGGCTCCTGGAGCCCATTGGCCAGAACTTGCCTCTACGTCAAGAACCTCCTATTCTGGGACATTTACTCCACTCTTTTTACACGCGCTTCACCATTGTGGAAGCAATGGTGCAACACTGCCAGGTACATTCACCTCCATTGTCCATTTACTGAAAACCGAGAACAATGGAAGTCCATTACCCCCAAAATGGAATAGATAACTAGCCAAGGAAATACGGCTGCTGACGTGTAGTGGCTTCTGTGCTGCATATCGCTTTCGAAAAAGCATCCAATACTGTAAATACTTACATTTAAATAGATAGATAGACGAATAACAACATGAATGTCTTTATCGAATATATATATATATACACGAATATATATATATATATATACACGAATATATATATATATATACACGAATATATATATATACATATATGATATGATATATATATATACATATATGAACATATATGATATATATATGATATATATATGACATACATACACACACACATATATATATGATATATATGATATATATATATATCATATATATAATATATATATATATGATATATGTATATATATTATATGATATATATATATGATATATATATGATATATATATATGATATATATATATGATATATATATATGATATATATATATATATATACATGAAGATAGGCATATCATTATATAACTATATATATATATTTGATTAGATAGATGGTTAGATATATATTATATATATATTATAGACATAGATAGATAGATAGATAGATAGATAGATAGATAGATATGTATACACCTTCCAGAAATTAAAGATGGCTAGCTGGAAAATCGCCTATAAAAGGGCATAAACTGTTCAAAACTATCGATATATGGGAATTTTCTATTGCCATGTTTGACTACCAGAGGGTATATATGAATAATTTAAATGTATGTATACATATATATATACACATATTGAAATACTTCAAACTAATCATCAACCATTTGAAACCTCCCAACTGGGATGAAACCAAGCTGGGATGATCATCCCCCGATTTTACATTGTTTCTATTCGAAACTCTGGAGTGTTGTCATAAGCGATCTTTTCTAGTAAAGTAACAAGACAATATCGAGACCAACCTGGGTTTTCTCCTCGAAAATTGATGTACATTTATGGTGGATGTTCCATATCCATGTAATTATTCCATATCCATGTAATTATATCTGGGTTATTCACCCCATTAAGCACCCATCATCCCCATCTCATAGATTATTGGGACCCCCATTGTCCAGGTATATCATTTGTTGTTATAAAATCTACTGTGCCCTTGTGTTTTTTTTCCGCTGTAACCCCATCAAATCCCAATTATTATGGTTGATGATATCCCCCAAAATATCCAAATCTATGTCCAACGCTTTTGCTGGGAGAGTTCAGTTGTCCCACTTGAGGAATTGAACCAGTGGCCACTTTGTATCACTGGGACCTCCCTGAAGCCTTGGAACGAGAAGGCGGCTGGCTGAACCGAGAGACGGTGGAGGTTTTTGCGGACTATGCCGCGCTGTGCTTCCAAAGCTTGGGGAAATATGTGCCACTGGGATGTGTTTTAATCACTGGTGCGGGAGGTAAACGCTTGGTATCAGTTGGTAAGCATAGATCGGGTAATGAAGGCTTTATCTCATGGATATATATATATAATATGTATATGTATATGTATATGTGTATGTGTATGTGTATGTGTATGTATATGTATATGAAAAAGTATATGTATGTGTATATGTATGTGTATATGTATATGTATATGTATATGTATATGTAATGTAATGTAATGTAATGTAATGTAATGCAATGTAATGTAATGTAATGTAACGAATGTATCTATGCAATGTACAGTGATGTAGTGTTATGTAATGTAATATAACGTCATGTGATGTTATCTTGTGTTATGTAATGTTATTTTTTGTAATGCTTTGTATTGTATTGTAATGTTTTGCAACGTCATGTAATGTAATGTAATATAATGCAATGTAATGTAATGTCATGTAGTGTATAGCATACAGTAACGTAGCATAATGTAATGTTGTGTATTGTTGTGTAATGTAACGTAATGTAATGTTGTGTAACCTGATGTAATGTAATGTTATGTCATGTCATTTTATGCTATGTTATGTATTTAATGTAATGCAACGTACTGTACTGTAATGTAATGTAATGTAAAGTAGTGTAATGTAATGTACTGCAATGTAACGTAGTGTAATGTAATGTAATGCAATGTAACGTAGTGTAATGTAATGTAATGTAATGCAATGCAATGCAATGCAATGCAATGTAGTGTATGCATGTAATGTATGTATGTTTGTATTATTGTAATTGTACTGTACTGTACTGTACTGTATTGTATTGTATTGTACTGCATCCTTCTGCTGTATGCAATTGTACTGTATTGTACTGTATTGTACTGTATTGTACTGTATTGTACTGTATTGTTTTGTACTGTACTGCATTGTCTTGTAGTGTACTGTACTGTATTGTATTGTATTATATTGGTATTGTATTGTATTGTATTGTAGTGTAGTGTATTGTATTGTATTGTATTGTATTGTATTGTGTGTTGTGTTGTGCTGTGTTGTGGTGTGTTGTGTTGTGGTGTGGTGTGTAGTTGTGTTGTATGGTATGGTATGGTATGCTATGCTATGCTATGGTATGGTATGGTATGGTATGGTATGTATGCACATATGTATATATATATATACAAATATATGACTTGAATGAGTTGCCAAGCCAACTGATAACATCGGGGGCCCCTTTGGTTCAACGCAGTGACATGTAGTGAATGCTGAAGCGTCACAACCCAGGAAGACCTGGTGTAGTATCAACGAACCCTGGACGCAATGCACCTTGGTCGTCCAGCAGTCCAGGGATGTCCAGGGTTGATGCTTGTCATCTTCAGCCAGCTGAAACACAATGCAAGTAGATAGGGTAGCCTGTCAAGTAAAAGGTCGTATTGCTGTGATGGGGTCAGGAGAATGCTGTGCAAATCTGGTGGTTTAACAGTTTTCTTCCATCCTTATCCGGGGATGATCAAGGGTGGTTGAAACCACGAACCGGTAATGGTCAACTGCAGTCAGCCAGCCTAAAAGGTTAAAAGGTGATATATATAATATAGGTTACCTAAGCAACATCAGAATCACATGTTTGATGGCTAAAGATGGTTAAGGCCTTCTAACTATATATAGACATACCTATACCTCATCTACATGTACATATCATACATCATATATCAGATAATTACTGTAATACAATACAATATAATATAATATAACATAATATACTATAATATGATATGATATGATATAATATATTTGTATAGCCATCTAACCTTGTTGGTCCCAGCTTGCCGAGGCATTCTGGGCTACTGCTTTGGTTCCCACGCACCCGGCCGCAGTGTGGCGCCGGGGGTGGAGCCCTACCTGGCGGGGCACCACATGCTGCTGGCGCACGGCCGGGCAGCAGAGATCTATCGGAAGGTGAGGCCTGAAGGCGGCAAGCGCCTTGGTGGAACCTGTTGGGGAGGCATTTGCATATATATATACATATATATATACATATATATAGATAGATATTATCTAATTTTGTGATTCACTGTGATTTATGTGTTATATCTTAAGTTGTATCATTTTTGGTATATATGAATAGCAATATATCATATATCTATGTATAATATAAGCCATATAGTATCTATAAATATACTGTGTCAAGTATATATATATATATATATTTGGGGAATCATCCCAACATCGCCCAACTTGATTCAGATTGGTGAGTTACATATTCTCATTCTTCAGATTGTGTGCATGGGTCAGAAATAGGGCCCACAAAATTGCAATTGTTCGTATCAAGCCATCCATTTGACCCTTTCGCGGGGAACATCTTGGTCAGAATTTCTGGCCTATTTGGGGATGGCAAGGATTTTGGGCACGGCACTTCACCACTAAACCATGGCATTTATTTCATTCAATGGTTGAAGAAACTTTGTCGTTTCCAAGGTCCTGAAGCTTAACCTTTCACCATTTGGGCGGTTCTTATCATGGTCCAATCCAGTAACTGATTTTCCCGCCACAGCTTTTGGTTCGATGCTGGACGTTCCAGAAGTTCACTCTGGTACAGGGTCAATTTTGCATAGCATTTTCATGTCTTCCTTTTTGTCACTTTATGCATCTCCATTCTTATTGCCTTGTCCCAACTTAAGGCAATTTGACCTTCATTCTTGTTGATGGAAGCTCCATTTTTGTTGATGAGTTTCCGTTTGTTTGGGTGAAAACCGGATTTTTATTGCTTAAATTCTAAAACCCATATGGGCAGTGTTCAACTCCCTGTTGGTTGATTGTTGTCGGGGGTTATACTACCAGGGTTATTGGGGACTCTCACAGAAATTATCCCTGTCAACCGAACAGCATATATGCTGGTATGACTTCAGGGTCCCTATTCCCCACTGGCCCACTGGAACCCAGGATGTGGGATTGTCCGAACATGGGGATGTCCCAATTTAGAGCCAATTGACAGGTCAGATGATGATTAGCCATTTGTGCTGCTTAAATCCGTATCTTCTGCTTTGACTTCAGGGTCACTCGAACATACTTGAACTCAGCTCAGGATTGCCATGGTTCTGAACACAGAGTGGGCAGAGCCACAGGAACCGAACAACCTCGAAGACCAGGTGCCTAGAGTGGCGGATGGGAGATCTTTTCTGCCAGGTGATGTTGGGATATCACAGCCACACAATAAGACATTGTTTTTGATGTGACTCTTGACATATACACACACCGTATACGTTTGCACATGCTCCCTATATGTACATCGATTGCATAGTATATAATACTATATAATAATATACGTATAATAATAGACGTATAATGATATATTTGATGATATATAATAATATATCATGATATATAATATATAATATATAATAATATATCATGATATATAATATATACTATAAAATAATATATAATGATATATAATAATATCTAATAACATATAGTATGTAATACTAAATAATAATAGATGATAATATATATATAAATAAATGAAACTATTTAATAATAATGATAATCTATAATTATATATCATAATATATAGTAATATACAATAATATATTATAATACATAAGGATATTTAATAATATATAATAATGTATAATGAAATATAATAAAATAACATAAATTATAATATGGTATGATATGATATATAATATAGTTATATTATAATGTAGAGTACTATAATACCCTATTATAATATAATATAATACCATATTTAATATACTATAATACCATATTTAATATAATATAATACCATATATCATAGAATATAATCTAATATAATAGAATATAAAATAATATGATATCTTAAAATATCAAATAATATAATATAATAGTAAATATTTAATATTAAATTTGTAATATTTGATATTAAATGATAAATAATATAATAATATTAAAAACCATAATATATTATGATATCATATAATAAAATGAAATATAATACAATATAATGATATACGATATAATGATATATAATATATAATGAAATACGATATACAATAATACCAAAATAAAGCGTGATACTTAATATATAGTATATAATATATATAATATTTGATATATGATATATGATATATAATATATAATATATGTTATATATTATATATCATATATAATATATAATATATGATATAGCATATAATATATAATTCATAATACATAAAATATTATGTATATATATAATGATATAATATAAAATATATAGTATATAATATATAGTATATAACACATAATATATAATATATGGTATATAAGATATATAATATATAATATATTTAATATACAATATATAATATATAATCTTTAATATATCATATATAATGTGTAATATTTGATATATGATATATCATATATAAAATATAATATGTAATTTGAAATATCATGTACAATATATAAGATTTAATATATTACATATATATATACATTTTGCAATATATATAATATATATTATTTAATATCTAATGTATTTTAATGTATAATATATAATATATAATATTTTATATTATAATATGTAATATATATATAACACACCACTATTTAATATGTATTATATAAGTTATAAAATATATATTTTAATATATAATATCTATTGGATACACAATAGTATATATAATATATGATGTGCAATCTTTATTATTATATATATAGTGATTTATATATAATTATAATATGTAATATATAATATATAGTATGTAATATATAATATATATTACATGATATACAATATATCAATATAATTATATAATATATCATATATGATATATATATAATACAATATAGATAAAATATTACAAATTTATCTAATATATATATATATGTATTAAATGATATACTGTAATATACTGTAATATACTATGATATACTATAACATACTATAATATACTATAATATACTATAATATACTATCATATACTATCATATACTATAATATACTATAATATACTATAATATACTATCATATACTATAATATACTATAATATACTATAATATACTATAATATACTATAATATACTATAATATACTAAAATATTCTATAATATACTATAATATACTATACTGTACTTTACGATACTATAATATAATGTAACATAGTATAGTACAGTATAGTATGGTATAGTATAGTATGGTATGGTATAGTATAGTATGATATTGAATAGCATAGCATAGCATAGCATAGCATAGTATAGTATAGTATAGTATAGTATAAATAAGATATATGATAAGGTTTATGATATGATATGTGGTATGATATATGATATGATATTTGATATGATATATGATATGATATATGATGTATGATATATGACATGATATTTGATGACATGATATGTGATATATGATATGATATTTGATATGATATTTGATATGATATTTGATATGATATATGATATGATATATGATATGATATATGATATGATATATGATATGATATATGATTTGATATATGATATGACATATGATCTGATATATGATATGATATATGATATGATATGACATGTTATATGATACATTATATATATATTATATGATATATGATAAATGATATGATATATGATATATGGTATATGATATGATATGATAAATAATATATGATATATGATAAATAATATATGATATATGATAAATAATATATGATATATGATATATATGACATATGATGTATGATATGATAAGTTAATTCACTCATACACAGTTTTACTATATATAATTATATATACATATATACACACATACATACATACGTACGTACGTACGGACGTACATACAAACATATATATATATATATATACACATACATGTATATATATATATATACATACATTCATTCATTCATTCATTCATACATACATACATACATACATACACACACAGACACACAGACACACAGACACACAGACATACAGACACACAGACACACAGACATACAGACATACAGACATACAGACATACAGACATACAGACATACAGACATACAGACATACAGACATACAGACATACAGACATACAGACATACAGACATACAGACATACAGACATACATACATACATACATACATATATATACATATATATACATATATATATATATTTATGAACTAGTTGCCTAATATGTGACAAGTCTTTGTGTGGCGCTCATCCAGGCGGCCGTCGAACGTGCCCGTGCCTTCAACCTGGACTGGTTCGCGGCACCGCTCTACGAAGGTTCGGAGCGGTTTTGAGCTGGGGGTCTCCATATTCCGGACCTGCGTGATAACTAACCATTCAACTCATTCAACTATGATCCACTTGGATCCTGTCCACCTTTCCTGCGAAACTGCTACGCTTTCTTAGGCGACTACCCGCAGCTCATGCGCCAGCGCGTGGGCCAAAGGCTTCCGCGCTTCACGGAGACGGAGAGGAAGTTAGTGAAACTTGATGAAACTGGATTTTACTCATAGACATAGGTTTAAGAATGGGATACAAAATTGGATAATAGAGTGATCCAGGCCCTGAAGCATCCTGCGCCGGTGTTCTGGGGTAAAGATGGAGTGTATTCGAAATTATCAGAAAGACATGCCCAGGAATTGGCCCAGGAATTGGCCCAGGAATTGGCCCACGAATTCCATTATTTCCGGTTTCCATATTGACAACGTTTGCATCTCATTCCATTGTGCGCGGTCCTTGCAGAACCATTTATGCCTGTAAAATCCCATCCGCGACGCCCTGAAAGTATCAGGGGATCTAGCAATATTCAGAGTAGTTGTAATTTGTAGATGTGAACCCATTACACCGGGGTATATGTATTATATTTATACTGTATATCATAATAATCGGGGTAGGCGTTGACTGGAATGATCGTCCCTTGTTTAGACGGTAGACGTACTAGGAATTACTAGGACACTATCATTCTTAGTGACGCCGGCAATCTGGCTCCGAGGAGAGGATCCAACGACTTCTTTGCCTTGAATTGCTATTCTGCGAGATACATTTGCGAAGACAACTTCTGGCGGAACTTGCAGAACACTCCGGCCAAATTGAGGACTGCCTAAGGGAAAAATCCAACTGAATGGTGTTCCAAACCTTTGTTGGTTGATGATTGTATGGGACTATACTGCCCAAGACATCGGGGATTATCATAATATAGGATAATGCAGTATGGAAATCCCTATTAACCATGCAGTATAAGGGCACCACACAGGCTTTTGAACACTGCTCAATTGATGCTAGGATCGGTGTGTTGTATGTCGTTTATTTTGCTTGATATCTCCCATTTGCTTTGGGTTCTGCACCAGTTGCTGTCCAAGATACAGTAGAGACGGTCCCACTGTGGCACCATGGTGCAACAAACTGTCTCAAACTTGCTGATCCATAGACACCTTTTGGCAATTTAATTCCGAAAAAAATTGTTCGAAGGGAAAAAGTCGAGAACTACTCCGACAGACTTGAGGGTAAAAGACACCCACCAAATTTTGGACAGCAAAACCGTGACTTATATAGATGGAAAGAAGACCCCTTCTACCGTAGAAGATTTCAATAACAGAAGCCGAGAAGCCTCTATAGTTTCCGAAGAAACCACCAATAATCTTATTTTTTCAATCAAATTCGAGCCTGCAAACATCAGGATTTTGCCCTTCGTCTCGGAGGTCTTGGTGCAAAAGCTCAAGGTCGCCCTGTCAGCCGACGCTGCTGCCGACCCTGCGGAAGTGCCGGCAGCGGCCACGGGGGGGCCAGCCACCCCCTCGCCACAGACTCTGCCGACGACAAGCTGGACGAAAGATGCAGGAGGGTCGGGCGTGAAATGGGATTTCATCAGCAACAAATTGAGGTGTTGACCAGGAAGATACAGGATTCTTACAAGCAAAAAAGATTGGGTTTCAACAAATTTTGGATTTCACGCGAGAATCACGATCTCACCAACAGAAATAGGGATTTCATCAGGAAGATAGGCTGATTTGACCAAAATTGGAGTTTACCAACAAGAATCTGGGCCTTCAGTTCCATTTCTCCCTCATGTAGCAACACCTGATTTCCAGCTGACCAGGCTATGAAACATCTATCCCCCTGGACGCCGAGCTGACAGCCACGGGTTGGCCAGTGGCGCACTATGGCTTGGGGCGCCTACTGCTCTACATCCAAGGTCGCTACCAACCCAAGGGAGGCATTCTCATCACTGAAGCAGGGGCAGCCTTTGATGGTGAAGCTTGGAGCTGAAGTTGACGCTTTTGGCAGTGTGGATATTTTCGCACATCAGGATATCATATAAATGGAACCAATGACCAGCCAACACTGATTGGCAAAGATGGTGTAATTCAGATCTGATAGGAGAACATACTTGAAAGTGGGTGGATCCTCCATGATAAATGGGGTTCTACGTGAGGTTTATTTATCCTCAGACCTGATCGGCCTGAGGATTCCGACAGTGCCGGGCCGCGGCAAGCAACGTACCTGCAGCGGCAAAGCGTGGTGCTGCGGCGGGCCATGTAGCCTGGTGATTCGGATATCTGTGTGCGAATTTCAAGCTGGGGCCTGTCACTATTGGTGAACCCTGACTTGCAAAGTAAGTTTGTGGGATAGATATGACCCTGGGCCAACACTACTAATTATCTTAAATGTTAGGGAGGTGATTGTCCCAGTGCAGTTTATTCTATTCATTCTGGATATTTTCACTGCCAGGGTTCCAGGGTTTCACAGAAAAATGGAGTCAGTTTATGCTCCAACGCGGTAGAAAGTGAACTCCATGGTGCTTTCTTGGCTTTCCCGCATCATCTCACATCAAACGAATCAAGCATCCAAACTTTACAAGTGAAGGAGAACGAACTCCAATGAACTGCAATCAATGAAGCTGCAGCCTCATTTGTACTTGGACTACTGGGCATTAGCCCCAGTTTTGTGCTGTGACTTCGTGTCATCCCCAGTTTTGTGTATCCCAGATGTCCGCACTGTCGTTTGAGGTTGGAGGGTGCTGATGTGAGGGGCTACATCTGGTGGACGCTGATGGACAATTTCGAGTGGAGTTACGGAACCTTGGGCCTCAACTCCAGTGAAGCCAGAGACGTGCTGGCTGTGGGTCCCCAGCCATGGGAGATTCCATCGAATTCTCAGCTGTCGTTGGATTCAAATCAAAATTGACAGAGTGGGGTTGTCTCAACATTTGGAAACTCTCAACTCCAATTTGTCATCACACCAGCACCATCAAAAAGATTGTCATTTTGGCATATCCGATATCCCCCCAAACTGAGACAGAACCAGATATTTGGGAATGGATGAACCGAACTTGGCCGAACAAAAGGGACGATTTTCTTGGAATAATGTGGCAAACTTGGTAAACTCAATGCCATAAACCATAAACCTACCATTTGAGGAGGATTTTTACAACCCATTTTATTTGTGGTAATGACTTGGGAATGGTTTAGTCATGTTTAGTCATTATTGGGATTAAACATGATTAAACCATTTCACTGATGATATTTCTGGCTTTAAGTCAACCTTAACATCAGGATATTCCAAGCACTTTGGCCTCTACGCCGTGGATTTCTCGCGCCGCCAAGCACGCACGCCCCGTGCCGTGGTGGCCACCTATCAGCGGCTGAGTCGCTCCAACGCTGTGGATGGCGCTGTGACGGACGCGGAGCTTGCCACGTGTTTAGAGCGACCAGATGGCCGAGCGCAAAAAGGATGAGACTACGGATGCACCATAAACATCCATAAACTTTCATTTTTAATCATTTTTGAGGGTTTCCGCTTTGTCATGCGGGGTGGTGTTGTAAATCATCTAGTCGGCATGGATGACCGAACCCCCATATATAATAATATGTAACTATCTATGCATGACGGAGATATTATATCCAAGCCAATAATGTCAATACCTACCAGTTCTAAATCAGGTTGTGAAGTTTTAATCCACCGAAAAATATGGGGATTCAACCAACAGAATTCAAAACAGACACTTACATTTTGAATACCCCATACTAGTATATATTTGATATATTTGGTTGATGGTTTCAAATCTGCTTGTCATTCCATCCTGGGATGATGATCCCTATTCTCCCTTTTTTTGTGTGGTTTGAAACCACCGACCAGATATGGTGTGCATCCTAGCTGCAATCACCAGTAAAGATGGGATTTCACCTGTACTTGTGGATTTCGACAGTGAAAAGTGGATTTAGAGGATGATTTTCTGGTGTAACCAGCATCTGAAAACCAGCTTCATTGGAGCCCAGTTTCCAGTCACATCATGGAGTGGCCAGGCTATGCCGGATGCCTTTGACTGCAGGCAGTGGTTTCACTTTTTTGGCATGACATCCATTGGTCATGGGTTATTATGGGAATCAGAAGCCTCTGGTCCAAGCTGGCAATGTAAAAATCCACCATTCGCAGGTTTCCATGATTTAACATGATTTTAACCATATTTAAACAATTTTTTCCACTTGGGATTTCGCGTTTCAGATGTTTCAGATTGGGATTTCATATGGGTGGCTCGGTCGACCTGAAAACGCGCACTTTTTTGGACGCACTTCCAATAGGCACAGTGGGATAGATCGGGAGCAAAACAACTCCAATTAAATTAATGTTGGATCCTGATTAGTGTAGGGAGGCCTCCCCCAAACAATTCAAGGAGCCTCTTTAGTGTGGAATTTTTCAAGTGCAGGTGCCTGAATAGTGTGGAAATGACAAAAATTGATAGATTTCAATTTACTTTCAATTGATTTTCAATTTACTTTCAATTGATTTTCAATTGATTTCAATTTACATTCAATTGATTTCAATTGATTTCAATTGATTCAATTGATTTCAATTTACTTTCAATTGATTTCAATTTGCTTTCAAATGATTTCAATTGATTTCAATTTACTTTCAATTGATTTCAATTGATTTCAATTTACTTTCAATTGATTTCAATTTAATTACTTTCAATTGATTTCAATTTACTTTTAATTGATTTCAATTTACTTTCAATTGATTTTTAATTTACTTTCAATTGATTCTCAATCTACTTTCAATTGATTTCAATTTACTTTCAATTGATTTCAATTTACTTTCAGTTGATTTTCAATTGATTTCAACTTACGTTCAGTTGATTTTCAATTGATGCCAACTTACTTTCAATTTATGTTCAAATGATTTCAATTTAGTTTGAATTTATTTTCAATTGATTTCAACTTACTTTCAATTGACATCCCATAGTAATCCCATAGACATGTCATAGAAATATCATGGAAATCCCATAGGAATCCCACAGAAATCCCATAGAAAAACCATAGAAATAACATGGAATAGCATAGGAACCACAAAGAAATATCATAAGAACTCCCATAGTAATCCCATAGAAATATCATAGAAACATCTTGGAAATACCTTGGAAATCCCACAGAAATCGAATAGAAATCCCACAGGAATCCAATAGAACCCCCATAGAAATATCATAGAACCATCATAGAAATACAATAGAAAGCCCATAGGAATCCAATGGAAATCCTATAAGAATACCATAGAGTTCCCTTAGCATTCCTTCAGAAATCCCATAGAAATACTCTAGAAATATCATAGAAACATCATGGAAATCCCATAGAAATCCAATGGACATCACATAGACATCCTTTTGAAACCCCATGGGAATCCCATAGAAATACCATCGACATCCAATAGAAATCCAATAGTAGTCCCAAAGAAATATCATAGACATACCATGGAAATCCCACAGGAATCCAATAGAAACCCCATAGAAATATCATAGAGCCACCATAGAAATTCCAAAGAAACCTCATGGAAATCACAAAGAAATACCAAAGAAATCCTCTAGAAATATCATAGAAGTACCATAGAAATCCTTTTTAAAACCCATAGGAACCTCATAGAAATTTCATAGGAATCAATTAGAACTATGATAGACATATCATGGAAATCCCATAGGAATCCAACAGAATCCCCAAAGAACGATCATAGATATAACATGGAAATAGCATAGGAACCACAAAGAAATCCCATAAGAATCTCATAGAATTCCTTCAGGAATCCCATAGTAATCCCATAGAAATATCATAGAAGCATCGTGGAACTCCCATAGGAATGCCATAGGAATCCCAAAGATATCCCATAGAAACATCATAGAAATACCATAGAAATCCCATAGGAATCCAATGGAAATCCCATAAGAATACCATAGAATTCCCATAGCATCCCTTCAGAAATCTCATGGAAATCATAGAAATCCAATATAAATTTCATGGAGATCCCACAGAAATCACAGAGAAATCCCATAGAAAAATCATAGAAATACCATAGAGGTCCCAAAGAAATCTGATAGACATCCAATGGAAATCCCATAGGCATCCTTTTGAAACCCGAAATACCATTGACACCCCATAGAAACCCCATAGTAATCCTATAGAAATACCAAAGAAATACCATGGAAACCTTAAGGAATCCAATAGAAATCCGATAGAAATATCATAGAACCACCATAGAAATTCCAAAGAAACTTCATGGACACCCCATAGAATTCCCAAAAAAAAACCCTCTAGAAATATCATAGTTTTTTTTAACCAATCCGATAGTAATCTCATAGACATATCATAGAAATCCAAAAGAAATATCATGTATATCCCAAAGAAATACCACAGAAACACCATAGGAATCCAAAGGAAATCCCATAGACATCCTTTTGAAACCCCATAGGAATCCCACAGAACTACCACAGACACACCTTTAGAAACACCATAGAATATCATAGAAACACCATAGAAATTACATAGAATTTCCATAGAAATTTTGTCAAAATCCCATAGAAACACCATAGAAACCAAGGAGAGGATGCCAGGAGAATTGAACTAAGTAAGAGACAAAAGCTATAGCAAAGGAAAGGAAAAGGACAGGAGACCATGATTTTGGAAAATGTTTACTTCCAAAAAAAAAGGTGGACACAATAGAGGACCACCGCAACAAACATACTATTGAGGATCAGGATTGCTCATGGACTAATTGTTTGAGTGCTGTTTTTTTAATTGGGTTTTAATAAGGAAACATTTTGAGAATTCCAAAAGAATGGAGCTAAGAAAGTAAAAAAGAGAAACATATTAGCAAATGAAAGGAGAAGGAAAGGAGAAAATGATTTTGGCAAAAAAAATCCCAAAAAAACGGGACACAATAGAGGACCACCACAACAAACACACTATTGAGGATCAGGGTTGCTCATGGACTACTCCCTTGAAAAATTGTTGGAGTGCTGTTTTTTAATTGGGTTTTAAAAAGGCATCCTATATTTTGGGAAATTAAACATTTTGAGAATTCCAAAAGAATGGAGCTAAGAAAGTAAAAAAGAGAACAGTAATTAGATGTAATTAGCAAAGGAAAGGAAAAGGAAAGGCGAGAATGATTTTGGCAAAAAACAACATCCCAAAAAAAAACTGGACACAATAGAGGACCACCACAACAAACACATTATTTAGGATCAATATTGCACATGAAAAAACTGAAACAGTTGAAATAAACAGTTCTTCAGACAACATTTGGACACAACAGAGGAACACCACACAAACATAAAAAATTGAAATAAATTAAACAACAAATTAAACAATAATTTAAAACAATTTTAAAACAATGAAAACACATTTAAAAACCCTGAAAAAATGACCACCTAAAAAATTGACATAAAAGCGGCCCACCTCATCATTTTCCCTGGGCCTGAATTATTTTAGAAAAAAAATGAAACAATAGAGGCCCACCACACTAATCAGGATCCAACATTAGGGATAAAATCACAGTTTTGGGGTCACACAAAAAACAAGGCCGTTACGCCCCCAAGTGACAGCCAAGGTTCAACGCCGCAAGTCGTCTTCATGGGCAGAAGAGGGTCTTGACCCAGGTGCCTGAACAAATGAGTGGTTTGTTCGAATGGGGGACTCCAAGAGCATCAACATTGGTCATTTTTAATGAGGAAACCAATGGTTCTAGGGTCCATCTTTACAATCCTAAATTCTAGAAGTACACTTTTATGCCGATCCGGAAACCCTTGTAGGACGAGGCTGCACTACATGTTTCATCTGTGATTGCAATATATAATAATATATATATATATATTTAATCATTACTGTAGCTGTGCAGGCATCGCCACATTTCACATGATGTCTCTTGGAGTCGACCGAAAATTGCTTGTAAAAAGTGTGGTTCAAATTTGTTTAATGAGATTCACTAAGAATAAATCAACATTTAATTCAACTTTGCAATGAGAATTGATCATTCACACACATATAATCATATATAATCATATATAATCACATATAATCATATATAATCACATATAATCATATATAATCATATATAAGCATATATAATCATATATAATCATATATAATCATATATAATCATATATAATCATATATAATCATATATAATCATATATAATCATATATAATCATATATAACATATATAATCATATATAATCATATATAATCATATATAATCACATATAATCACACACATATATTATATTACATTACATTATATTATATTATATTATATAAAATATATATATATGCATAATCACTATATTAAAACATATAAGTCATCATTAATCCATTTTGGTCATCACTGTTTTGCCAGGCCTCAGAGCTGGAAGTCTTGGTCGAGTGGCTCCCGTGGGCTGTGGGATCAATCCATGAATGCCATGATGACAGGGATGACCAAAGGAACCCATATGCTATCTTTTGACCATGACGCACACACACACACACATGTATATATATATATTCTCGAATCTCTCTCTCTCTATATATATTTATACTATATTACTATGAACAATTCCGCGCTTGTAGCAGTCCGTTTTGCAACCATTTGTTTTGCACCTCCACACTCTGCCATTCCTCACTTCCAATCAAGATCAATCAAGATTATATAATTAATTGATTGATCATCATCAGCCGGTAAGGGTCCAAGCAAAAAACGTTACCCCCAAAATATTTGGCAACTAGACCAAAGGTCAGAGTAGTTGTAGAAACATATTTGAGCCATTAAAAATATCATAGTTGATAAGTTATTGTGGGGATTATACTATCTGGTTTAATGCGGATTATAAGAAATAATAATAGGGATAATTATTAACTAACAATATTCGCTTTTGGTTGGCCGCTGGGTTCAGAACTTCACTGATGCACAGATCTATGCTGGCTACTAGACATGTCTTAGGCCTCAATAGTGCTGCTATCCGCTATCCTTTCCAATTCCCACTGGATGTCCATGCCCTTCTATCAACTTATATATATATTTACCTATATCATCCTATATCCAAATATGCATACATGGGTTTGTCTGAACATATGGTACTCCAAAACCTACTGAATCATCATTTTCCCTAGTTAAATGGCCATTTGGCTGTATTCCCATTTTCAGACACACCCACAGTCACCTAGTATATATATATGTATATATGATGTGTATATATATATATGTATATGATGTATATATATATATATGTATATGATGTATATATATATATGTATAATATAGAGATATGCATTTTCCAGTTTTGAGTTTTGATTATTATCCCCAAGGACCCGCTTTTCACTTCTGCGGGTCAGCGAAGCCAGGGCCTGCCGTCGCAGTGGCAACTTCGAGGCCGTGGGACTGGGGGTTTCATCACTCCTCTGGTAACGTTAACAAAAAAAACTATGGAAAGATCCACCATTTCTATGGTAAATCATGGGTAAATCATGGTAAATCCACTATTTCTATGGTCATGTTCAATAGCTATGTTAAATTACCAGAGGGTATATATATATATATATAGTGGTGACAATATGATAAATATCTGGTCGGTGGTTTGGAGCATATTTTTTTTCCATATATTGGGAATAATACTCCCAACTGACCAATATTTTTCAGAGGGTTGAAACCACCAACCAGATATAATATAGTGATATATATATAGAGTATGATATAATGGTACTACTTTTACCACTGCATGGCGATAATATATATGATAAAAATTATAGTTGATGAGTTGTTTCAAGCAGGGAATAAACTCCATTTCATTACACCATCTATGGCTAAGGCTTTGATCATCAAGAGATAGAATCGATAAACGCGGTTTGCTGATACAAGACAGGACTATGCACCTGTCATTTATTGGCGATTGTCATAGCCCATGAGCTAGGAATCCCTATTAAATACTCATCCTTTTGAGGATTTCCAATCGATTCTTGACACTCATCTTGAGGAAATGCCACTGATGACTTTTGAAGAACTATTCGCAGCATCACAATCCGATTTTGATTCTTTTCGCAAAATGGTTGCACAACATGTTACAAGCCATTTGAAGGCATGTTTGAATCTTTTTGAAAGAATGGTAGCCTGACATTTGGCACGCTTTCAGACTTCCTAAAGCGGTTGACTTGAATTGCTGCCACATCTGACTGCATTTGACGCAGGCCATGACACAAGCAGCAGAGGAGCGGCTCACAGCGAGTTCGGCATCAAAACCATGAGATGTTGAGATTGATGGGGATTTAGCCATCAAAGATGGTGATATGATGGTACATGTTACATTTCCGTTTAGGGGGGGAGATGAGTAAATCCCAGCTATTCTCGGAATACCAGGGTTTTTGCCAATAGCCAATAGTCAAATGGGGCTCAAAATTGGGGGAAGCATCAAGCACCCCATTAATTTGAGAAATATGAAAATGAACCAACCATCGGATTCTGGGGTTCCCAAATTTGTGACAAACTGTCTGTGCGCAAGAGTGTGTGATACAAGCCCCTTCCTCCAATTTCTATTCTGTTGGTCACCTGAAGAATGTTTGGAACCAACAATTTTGTTCTGCTTGTTGCCTTGCACCACAGTTGTTGAACCCAATTCAGTTTCCACATTTATTGTTGCTTGGTATAGGCGTTGCTGTTGGTGCCTTTGCATAGGCTCAGCAGTGTCACGCCAAGAAGAAATGGATAGGTCTTGGTCACTTTCAAACCTGACAGGTAGGGATAGGGTATTCCAATGTGTTGTGAGGACAAGACTTTAATCCATAGAAATTCGATCTGAAATTACATTGCTTGGTATAGGCGTTGCTGTTGGTGCCTTTGCATAGGCTCAGCAGTGTCACGCCAAGCAGAAATGGATAGGTCTTGGTCACTTTCAAACCTCACAGGTAGGGATAGGGTATTCCAATGTGTTGTGAGGACAAGACTTTAATCCATAGAAATTCGATCTGAAATTACATTGCTTGGTATAGGCGTTGCTGTTGGTGCCTTTGCATAGGCTCAGCAGTGTCACGCCAAGCAGAAATGGATATGCCTTGGTCACTTTCAAACCTGTGCGGGCAGCTGTGCCCCTTACGGGAGTCCTTGTCCAGAACAGGGGTAGGGATAGGGTATTCCAATGTGGTGTGAGGACAAGACTTTAATCCATAGAAATTCGATCTGAAATTACATTGCTTGGTATAGGCGTTGCTGTTGGTGCCTTCGCATAGGCTCAGCAGTGTCACGCCAAGCAGAAATGGATATGCCTTGGTCACTTTCAAACCTGTGCGGGCAGCTGTGCCCCTTACGGGAGTCCTTGTCCAGAACAGAGGGAGGGATAGGGTATTCCAATGTGGTGTGAGGACAAGACTTTAATCCATAGAAATTCGATCTGAAATTACATTGCTTGGTATAGGCGTTGCTGTTGGTGCCTTTGCATAGGCTCAGCAGTGTTACTCCAAGCAGAAATGGATAGGTCTTGGTCACTTTCAAACCTGTGCGGGCTGCTGTGCCCCTTACGGGAGTCACTAGTCCTTGTCCAGAACAGGGGTAGGGATAGGGTATTCCAATGTGGTGTGAGGACAAGACTTTAATCCATAGAAATTCGATCTGAAATTACATTGCTTGGTATAGGCGTTGCTGTTGGTGCCTTTGCATAGGCTCAGCAGTGTTACTCCAAGCAGAAATGGATAGGTCTTGGTCACTTTCAAACCTGTGCGGGCTGCTGTGCCCCTTACGGGAGTCCTTGTCCAGAACAGGGGTAGGGATAGGGTATTCCAATGTGGTGTGAGGACAAGACTTTAATCCATAGAAATTCGATCTGAAATTACATTGCTTGGTATAGGCGTTGCTGTTGGTGCCTTTGCATAGGCTCAGCAGTGTCACGCCAAGCAGAAATGGATATGTCTTGGTCACTTTCAAACCTGTGCGGGCAGCTGTGCCCCTTACGGGAGTCCTTGTCCAGAACAGGGGTAGGGATAGGGTATTCCAATGTGGTGTGAGGACAAGACTTTAATCCATAGAATTTCGATCTGAAATTACATTGCTTGGTATAGGCGTTGCTGTTGGTGCCTTTGCATAGGCTCAAAATGGATAGGTCTTGGTCTCTTTCAATGTGAGGTTAGGATGTGGGTCTTTCTTTTCTTTCGGCGTCTTGACAATGGATCTGCTCTGGTGACATGTGATGATGGTTGCCACATCCCGATTCATCCCGAGCTATCCTTGAGCAGATGAGAAAACGGTTGTTGTAGGCTCTTCAAGCGGATCGCCTTAGGCGCAATTAACACCACGCGTCAGGATGATGGCAGGGGGGAAGCCACAAGCTTTGATAGCACAAACAATCCAACACAAGCACACAGCTGTTCAGATATCATAACTTAATATCATAACTTAATAAGATACATACTCAACAATACCGACACATACACTGTAGCTATAAAAATAATTTACTTGGTGTGATTACCGTGGGATATCTCCGGACATAGATTCTGACATTCTATCTGAATCTGACATCTTATCTGGCATCTATTCTGACATACTATCAGACATTTCATCTCTCTCTCACACATATATATATAATATATATAATATATATATATAATATATATAATATAATATATATATACATATGTATTTATATATACATTCTGACATTCTATTTGGCATTTTATCTCACATGCATTCTGACATTCCATCTGAGATTCTATCGGGTCCAGTTGGCGAGCACCTGGCAAGACACACTGCTCTAAGGATGCTCGTGCATGGTAGAAATGTATATACTGCGGTCGTGTGAGAAATATAGACCGCAGTTGGACCTCTAACCTCACGATTTTGAGGAGCTCGCAGCTTGCTGTCGGGAAATGGACCCCAAGCAGCCCAGCCGAGAGGTCCGCTGAAAAGATTGGACGGGATGACGATAGGGGGGTGACTTCATGAAGCCTGGAAAAGTTTGGGCTTGGAGATTGAAGATTTGACTTTGGCTTTGGCCCAAGTGATTGAACTTTGGAAACCAGCCATGAGATCTGGATTGGTTTCTGATGTTTTTGGATATGTCTTGGAATTTTAAGATCCCATCCCACCAACGGTAGACTCGGTAGACCCTGCCATGAGTTGGGGATAGACTCGGATCGACGGCGCGCGCAAAGCGCGGAGGCCCGCGCCCTGCGCCTTTGCACTCGAGGTGCTGGTGGTGGGTTGGAAGATGGTGAAAATTTTTGCAATTTGTCATCCCATTTTGGGATATTTTGGGATGATTATCATGATTATCCCACATGTTTTGTTGTTTAAGCGGGGTTGAAACCACCCATCGGAAGGATGCTCATCAACCCATTAATCCATATTAATCCCACGGGATGGATGACCATACCCGCCAGCCCCATATACCCCATATACCATGTCTTGACCATGGCATGGGTTTGTCCAAAAATGCGGGATGCTCAATGGCACTTCGACCGGAGAAATCGATGTTCTCAAACATCAAAACTAGATATATTTCTCCACTTTTTGGTCCCTACATGTGTTTGAAATCTCTTGAAATGTCATTTTCCTTATCACCAGAACCTCAAGGCCTTTGGAAACCCCGGAGAAATCCCTTTAAAACGCCCCGCAGGGCAGCTGATGTTGCGAAGGCCCAAGCGAGCAATCCAATCAGCTGGCAGAGTTGGGGATCCCAGGTGGTCGGTTTTCATTCACGGATCGAGGTTACTAACCCATCGATCCCATCGTAAGTCCCCTTTTTTCCTGGTTTATCCCATCTGAAAATGGGCGAACTATGGTTACTAACCAGTATGTACTAAGTTTGGTGGATTGTCCCACTTAGTACATGGTTGGAAACTAAGTTATGTCACATTTAAACCACGGTTCATCGCGGACTTATTGGGGTTTAATCCGCCAGTTACTCGTACTACGTCGTAACGTGGGATTATTTGCCGTCAGAATCGGCATGATGGGCCTAGTATTTGGAATCGATGCGCGCATGTGCAAACTAAACATCTACATAGAATATCTACCTAGTATAATATACAGATACACATATGTACAATTATACATCATTACTTCAACATTGAGCAAGGTTACATATACATTTCAAAAGTCCACGGACATAGCTTTTCAAGAATACGCAACCCTTCCGCAATTCCATGGTGGGGAAACGTCAGGGTTGCAGCGAACAGCTGTAACTAGGGTTAGACTCTTGGACTACGAGAATTACAGGACACCTCTGGGGAAGAACCCATGGGATTTCTGTAGATTTTCCCACCAAAACCAATCAACAATGAACAAAGAACAGCTCATGATTGATGGTGAAGCATCATTGAATCCCATTTGAAACCGAAGTTTGCATATTCTTGCTGGTTAAACCATGTTTTTCAAAACGGAACCGCTCAACTGCCAGCTAAGCAGCTGCAAGACCCATTTGTTTGCCGAGCTCGGGGCTATCCGACCTTTTTATTGGAGGTTGTCAGAATCCATGAACCGCCGATCTTCAAAACCAATGATTTGGGGGATCTCCCCGTTGTCTCTTAACCATATCAACGCATCTCCCAGTCTCCCCATACAATGCCATGGTGAATACCCCCGCGTACGATACTGGTTTTCTATGTCGTTGTTTTTCCTGGCCAATTTTTGGTTATATACTCATGATTTCCCGTTCTCCCATTCTACCCCTCATAAGGGACTTCCCACCTCGGTTCGTCGCAATTCTTTTGCTCCCAGCATGACTGATCCCCGAAAACATATCCCACCATTTGCAAAGGTTGGTCGTTTAACCATCATTTTTATCCCAACAAAAAACTATTCCCATTGCCATCTCTTCTAGAAATGGTGCCGGAACGCCGCGTATGTATATATATATTATACACTTGTATTTGGATGTTCATTCCATGGTTTGCGGTGACAATTTTCCCTCACACCTGGGCTTGTCTGAAATTTAGGAGGGTTCCTCTGTTAAAATAGTGTTTTTCCATTTTTTGGTGTTTCTTAACATATAGTTTATATATCCATAGTTTATCCATAGTTTCATAGCACTTTTTTGTGTTTTTGTTCCCCCATTTCCACTTTATTCGACCTGGTGTTTTTGCAGGCCATGACTCTCTTCAAGGAGCTGGGCGACAGTAACGCGGCGGATGAGATGCGGATGCTCTTTGTGCGGGCGGGGCAGTGGATGGGTTCAGTACTACCCCAAACCATGGGATTTTCCAGAATTTCATGGGATTTCCATTGGATTGGGCCGGGATTGGGATGTAAAAATCCGGATTTACCATGGATTTACCATGGATTTAGCCTCTGGTCATCAAATGTGGCTAGCTGGAAAATCCTCTATGAATGGATGTGTTAATGGGTAAATTGACTATACATGGTGGATAGATGGTGGATTACCGGAGGGTAAACTTTGATGGACATCAACAAGTAACTGATCATCTGAATCTGAAATAGTGATAAGTTTATATATATAATTCTTTCTGCATCTTTTGGGGGTTACAATACATCTAATTATATTATGATGATGTATGATGTGTATGAGGTTCTATTGTGTCTGTGTATAAGTATGGTTTGTATGGTATGTTACGCATCCATAGCGAATAGATGTGATCATAACTTGGGGATGACGGAGGGTTTTGGGCACTGCTCCGAGATCCCAATATTTGTGGATTAGCAACAAGTACTGCAATGAGGGAGTCAACAAACATTGTACGTGATGCCAGACAGGCATGATTCTGGATCGATTCACTTTCACTTTCAGGGTTCCAAGAATGTCTCCAATTCACAGGAACGGGAAGGAACTAGTTGATAAGCCTGGTTGATAAATCCCCATTTCGTGTCATTTCATTTCATCCCGTCTCATTTCATCTATTTCATCAATTCATCTGTTTTCTATTTGACTTCGCTACATTTGCTGTGCATTACATTGCATTACATCACTTTGTAGCTATCCTCAAAATGATAGACCTTTGTGTCTCCAGGATGGTGAATGGTAATGATATATTGAGCATTTACCTAAGAAATTCCAGGTTTCCAACTTTTCTAAGACTTGGGTTGCTATAGATACCCTTTGGTTATTTAACATAGCCATGGAAAATCCCCATTTTTAATAGGTAAACCATCTATAAATGGGCCATTTTCCATGGCTATGTTAAATAACCAAATGGTATCTATCGATTATACAAGTATCACTGGCTTCAAAGCCCGCTGACCGATGACTCCCAGCATCGCATCGCAGGCGCAAACCTTGCGCGAAGGAATGCAGGCTGCAGCCCAAGACGCGCGACAGGTGCACGACTGGATCTGCATCCTGGTTAGAAAGTGCATTGTAACATAGCATTGTAAACATATTTTTATATGTATACATGCCTTTATACGTATACAATATACATATATGTTATATATAATATACATATACACATATGTAAATAGATATACATAGGCATATATGTACATATATGAACATATATGTACATATATGAACATATATGTATATGTATCTATGTATATATGTATCTATGTATATATGTAATTATGTAATTATCCATAATTATATGATTATATGTAAGGGGCCACCTGATATATCATATAATCCAACATGGCCTGTAATCTAGGGTGTTTTTTTCTTCCACACAACGGCAAATCTATGTCATCAAACGTGCCAATCATTTAATCCAACATTTAGAGATGATTTGTTTCCCCATTAAAACACATTAAAACCTCCACTAAATGTGGGATTTTCCCGGCCATGACACTTGGTACCGGCCAGGCGTGGCTCCTCTACCGCGAGCATGGTTGCTTTGGCCGCATGCAGCGCTGCTATTGGGGGATTTTCCAGCCAGTGATAGCATCCTGATGAGTGAATACGAGCAAATGATGCCGACCAAATGATACCGAATGTTTGCGCGTGTATATTGCTGTATCGCTACCCCATTTTTCAAACTAGCCATGTACATTAACATGTGCAGAATCATTCATGTTCCACTCAATGTTTTCTTGGTGTTTTCCCCTATATGAAAATAGCATCACCAGGTGATCCTCGACTACTCTTCCAAGCAGCAAAGAATTGCTGGGCAGCCTGGTGCTGTCAGTAGTTGACTGTTGCCCCTCCAAGATGGAAGGATTGGTACAAAGCATGACCCTCTGAGCTATTCTGAGCTTTTGTTTTCAATTCTGGGCCATTTTCCACCTCACTCTTCGGGACCGAGTTTTTGACTGATCGCCCAGCGTTTGGGTCCACCGCCGGAGCGGCCTACCTATCAGGGGAGGAATTTCCATGTCTACCAGTTATTTGGGAACCCCATAGCCATCTCACGACCAGGTCACGATGCGCATCATAAGTTCGATGATCAGAACGTCCTCCTGCTGGAGAAACTCTGACGTTCGACCGCGACGAAAAGTGATGGGTCAAGTCGTTGGGGGTCAACCACTGGAGGGTGGATAGAGGTGACTGTTTTTCCATGGTTTTTCTATGTTTTTGTAGGGGCAAAGATGGGCAAAGAAGATGCTTAGCGGCCACTTTGGCGCTTCTCCGAAAGACAATGAGAGACCTTGCGGGTCCATTAGTCCATGGCTGAGCTTACCCAAATCAGGCTTCAGCTTTGGAGCTTTGATCCATTCTTGACGCTTTGCTGTTTGCAAAAGCTTTCAAGCCTTCAACTTGAGTGGGATTTGCCATTTGTTGGTCTCCCATGCCTTTGTTCCGCTGTCACCAATGGCTCATGTTTTGCTCACGAAGCTGGGGGTTCTACATGGCACGCAGGAGTAACAGGGCCTTAGCACCGGCTTTCCTCCCACAGTTGTGACATCTCTGGGACCATCCCAAAGTGTTGACACCAGACACCCATTTTTGGTGGCCCAGGGGCCGACCTACAGCGACTGAATGAGCAACTGACCTGTCCAGTACCCTCCACCAGGTTCGGGCCACAGAAATAGCTAAGCCATGGCGGCAAGTGGCACTTCGCCGGAGGTGCGGGGTGAGAGCTTTCAAAGCGGCCACTGGGGAAATCTCCTGGGCTAGGCTCCAAAAATCAGCGCAGCTTACATGGGTAGTGATTCACATCCCAAACTCGTTGATTCCCTTCATATCCCTTCCTGTTTGTGGTGTCGTTCACCCATGGTACCAGGATCTTGACCCATTCCGGAACACTACCTGGGTATTTTTGAATCTTTCCCATGACTCAAGAAACATTGACTCCCTCCTTACCAGACGGCAACTCTACCCCTGTCTGTATGACAACATTTTGAACTTTAGTTGGAGGCTTCCAACAAGCATTGAAGAAATGATGTATCACGCCACCTGCTTGGGACTGTGACTATGGGGCATGATGACCGTTTCTCCATTCAATATCATTCAATGGTGTGCCGGATGAGGGATACCATGGCAGGGGTTCAAATCGGTTGCATGCACTCGAAATCAAGGCCCAGAGCTGATGCTTGGCATTTTCCCCATTTGAATCAGAATAGATCTAGGGGTACCATATGGTACCATGTTTTCGAACAAAAAAACTTTTTGAATCCCCAAAAAGCGAGGGGATTCTCAGGTGCCAAAGGTGGCAGAGAAGGCAAGTTGGCTGCTGAGGGTCTGCAGTCCCTGGGAGCTATAACAATCAGTGGCTTCCTGCATCAAAAGTGCCGGGGTTGACCCATGAGAGTGGGGGTTTATGGTGGGTAGCAACAAACAAACGGCTTGGTGGTTTCAACGATGTTTCTTCTCCCCTCATGATGATCCCCAATGACTTCTTTTCTTCAGTGGTTTAAGAGCACCAACCAGCACATCCATTTCAATGTCTTTCACTGGGAAGTGCAATCTCTGGAAGTGACACACCGCTTTAAGAATTTCAATTATTTCGGTGGGGCAAGCCGGGCAAGCTTCTCCAGAAGCACAGTGCCGGTGCCTTTTTCAAGTTGGATTACATTAACCCATGAATTTACCCTCTGGTTATTTAACATAGCCATGGTATAGATGGCCCATTTATAGATGGATTACCTATTAAAAATGGTGATTTTCCATGGCTATGTTAAATAACCCATGAATTTAACTCAAATGAAGCCATGAATTGGGGCCATTGATGCGAGCGACAATCATGAGGCCAAGTTTTGAGGATTCCCAATGCTGGGTGACCATAGGGCAGATGACAAACCGAACCAAATGGAAGTTTGGAATGTCATAATATATAATATATACTATATAATATATGATATATGATCGATATTATATAATATATAACATATAATATATAAAATATCATATAATATATAACATATAATATATAAAATATCATATAATATATAACATATAATATGTGACATATAATATATAACATATAAAATATAACATATAATATATGACATATAATATATAACATATGTATGAAGTATGATATATATGATACATCATAGTATATATATATGTGATACAACATAATAAATATAAATATAATTTAATATAATATCACCTGATCATGGACTAACCTATGTCCTCTTGGTCCAGATCTCCCAGTGACAACCTCCCATGCCGCCGCAGCCGTGACACGTGTGTTCTACGCAGTTCTCGCGACCCGTGGCCTTCGTTGTCTTCCGCCATGGCGCCTCAGGAGATTGAGACCATCGCCGAGAACGAGCACGGCAGCGCCTTTGAGGTTCGGGATGGGGATGAACATCCAGCTGTAGATAAGCTTGTAGAGAACAACACACACATACAAACAATATGTAATATATATATAATATAATATAATACAATATAATATAATATAATATAATATAATATATATATATAATATAATTTATATAATTTATATTATATATATATCATTATATATATATATGTATATATAATATGTATATATAATATGTATATATAATATGTATATATAATTTGTATATATAATATGTATATATAATATGTATATATAATATGTATTTATTTCTGTGAGGTCTTAGAAAACAAGTCCGAAATTGGCGGAACCTGTGGAACTCTGGGGATGGTCTAAGTTTTGGTGGCGGGCAACATCTTGGATGTTCCCTGAAGGTGGGATGGTGATTCCGACTTTTCACTTGGGATGGGTTAAACGAACCAGGGATTGATCTGATATGATCTGATGGTCTGAGAAAAACCATGGCCAGATTAAGGGGCTACCACCATGAAATGTATTCCCCCCTATTTGTCCCAGTAATCCTGGTTCATACCGCAAAGAATCAAAGAATCACAGTTTTTGCTGATATCCGCAGTTCATCCCCGATCATTTTCTCGATAATCCCAAAATTTTCCGATTTTGATGGTTCAATTCATTTTTTGCTGGTTGAATTCCCATAATAACTTTCCCTTCGACTGGGCAGGTTCAGATCAAGAGCCCTGGCGCCGATAAGCTCCTTGGAGCCAACGAGTTGATCAAATCATGAAATTTGCGATTCGACAGATCGAGCTGGTTGAATTTGGTACCAGATTTATGACTTACGATGGACCTGTTGGATCCTGTTTGTTGTGCTCTTACCTTTTGTTTTTCAATTTGCAATTTATAAATTTATGGGTTTGTCATGGTTTGTCTGAAAATGGAGTATACCCTCTGGTAATTTAACATAGCTATTGAAAATGGCCATTTATAGTGGATTTTCCCATTGAAAATGGTGATTTTCCATAGTTATGTTAAATTACCAGAGGGTACCTTCTAGATTCCAAATGGCCATTTAACATCAACCAGGAGCCATTTGCCCATGACACCAGGATCGCCATGTCGAGGTTGAAGACCGCGGCCCGTCTTCGCTTGGAGTCCTATGAGAAGAAGCACCTCTGACGAAGGATTGAGGGACAATGATATATGATATCGGCATATGTGGGCATATGTGGGCCATGGTAGAAACATAGCTTATTTTCACATCAAAGGGGATGGTTGTCAATCCGTAATAGGGATTTATACACCAATTATAGATGTATATATGAATTCCGAGTATGGGATGGAGGACCATAAACGATATACATTGTTTGGACTATGGTACGTACAGAAAATAGGGAGTTTGAACCATTTTCATCAACTTTAACCATCACACATCCGAATTTCGGTTTTTTCAGATGTCTTTTCTCGAATGCAGAGGACTTTGCCAGTATATATGGGTGCTGTGGCCATATCCAAGAAAGCTCAGCTTGCCACCTGCCAATAATATCTTCTGTTGGCTCTTTCAGGGTGCAAAAAGCATAAAAAGTATGAACGAATACATCGGAATACAATATACAGATACATGTCATGGTACTTGGCTGACCACCAGCATACCTTCATTGCGGGTGTGGTCAAGTGTTTGTGGTTGGTCATCTGGGTGCATGCACACGTGGGTGGAAAGTATACTATGTAATGTACTGTACTGTAATGTAGTGTAATGCAATGTAATGTATGTAGACGTGACAATACATATACGACAATACGTACATGACAATACATATATGACAATACGTACATGACAATACATACATGACAATACATACACGACAATATCTCACTCTCTCTATATTTTACGATCTAATATATATATATATATATTATACGTTATGCGCGTACGTACAATAGAACGATAGTAGGATAGTAGGATAGTACGATATATAGATAGATCGCTAGACAGATAGATAGAAATAAAGATGATAGATAGAAATAAAGATGATAGATAGATAAAATAGATAGATAGATAGATAGATAGATTGATAGATAGATAGATAGATAGATAGATAGATAGATTAATCAGATAGATAGATAGATAGATCGATAGATAGGTAAATATACATATATATATATATATAATATATATATAATTAGATAGATAGAAAGATAGATGGATAGGATAGGATAGGATAGGATAGGATAGCAGGATGGATAGATAGATAGATAGATAGATAGATAGATAGATAGATAGATAGATAGATAGATAGATCGATAGATAGATAGATAGATAGATAGGTAGATCGATAGATAGATAGATCGATAGATAGATAGATAGGTTGGATTGGATTAGATTAGACTATATCAGATCAGATTAGACTAGATCAGATCAGATTAGATAGATGAGATAGAAAGATTAGATAGATGGATTAGATATATAGATTAGATAAACCGATCGGATATATAGATTGGATAGATAGATTAGATAGTTTAGATAGATAGTCTAGATAGATAAGTTAGATAGATAGATTAGATAGATAGATTGGATAGATAGATTAGATAGATAGATGTAGGGATGGAAGGATGGATGGGTGGGTGGGTGGGTGGATGCATGGATGGTTGGATAGATAGATAGTTAGGTAGCTAGATAGATCGATCGATAGATAGATAGTTAGGTAGATAGATAGATAGATAGATAGATAGATAGATCGAAATATAGATAGATAGTACGAACGATAGGTCTATGGTCTATGGATAGATAGATTGGATTAGATTAGACTAGATCAGGTCAGACTAGATTAGATAGATTGGATAGATAGATTAGATAGATAGATTAGATAGATAGATTTGATAGATGGATTATATAGATAGATAGATTAGATAGAACGATCGGATATATATAGATTAGATAGTTTAGATCAGATTAGATTAGATTAGATTGGATAGATAGATAGATAGATAGATAGATAGATAGATAGATAAGATAGATAATATATATAAGATAGATAAGATAGATACGATAGATAAGATAGATAAGATAGACAACATAGATAAGATAGATAAGATAGATAAGATAGATACGATAGATAAGATGGATATGATAGATAAGATAGATCAGATAGACACGACAGATACGATAGATACGATAGATAAGATAGATACGTTAGACACGATAGATAAGATAGAGAAGATAAACACGATAGATCATATAGACATTATAGATAAGATAGATAAGACAGATACGATAGATAATATAGATAAGATAGATAAGATAGATAAGATAGATAAGATAGATAAGATAGATAAGATTCAAAGGATCGATTAGATAGATTAGATAGATCAGATAGATTAGATAGATTCGATCGTTTCGATAGATTGGATAAATTGGATAGATTGAATAGATTGAATAGATAGGCTAGATTAATTAGATAGACTAGATAGGTTAGATAGATTAGATAGACTAGATAGATTGGACAGATTAGATTAGATTGGATTAGATTGGATCAGATAGATAGTTAGATAGGTTGATAGATAGAGATAGATAGATAGATAGATCGATAGATAGATAGATAGATAGATAGGTAGATAGATAGGTAGATAGATAGATAGATAGGTATATAGATCGACAGATCCATAGATAGATACATAGATAGATAGATAGATAGATAGATAGATATAGATAGATATAGATAGATATAGATAGATATAGATAGATATAGATAGATATAGATAGATATAGATAGATATAGATAGATATAGATAGATATAGATAGATATAGATAGATATAGATAGATATAGACAGATATAGATAGATATAGATAGATATAGATAGATATAGATAGATATAGATAGATATAGATAGATATAGATAGATATAGATAGATATAGATAGATATAGATAGATATAGATGGATATAGATGGATATAGATAGATATAGATAGATATAGATAGATATAGATAGATATAGATAGATATAGATAGATATAGATAGATATAGATAGATATAGATAGATATAGATAGATATAGATAGATATAGATATAGATAGATATAGATATAGATATATAGATATAGATAGATAGATAGATCGATAGATCGATAGATCGATAGATCGATAGATCGATAGATCGATAGATCGATAGATCGATAGATAGATAGATAGATCGATAGTTGGATAGATTATTATCATGATTAGATAGATTAATTAGATTAGATTAGACTAGATCAGATCAGATTAGATTAGATGGGTGGATGGCTGGCTGCTGGGTGGATCAACCTGGCAGCGATGGACTCCGCACGCGTGGACCGCTCGTCCAAGGCCCTTGCCCACTCTCTTGGGATCCAAGCCGGTGAACCTCATCCGTGAACAGCGTGCGGACAAGGCCTGTCGGTACCTTCTAGTGATACCGTGTGATATCTATTGTAGGCAAATCTAGGAATATACATTAACAAGTCATTGAATGAAACTCTATTGGAATATACAGTAATATAAAATATATAATATCTAGTACTATCTAGTAGAGGGTATTTGTACTCCTCGAACAGAAAAACAGTAGGAAGGAGACGAACCAGTCTTTTTTCCTGTTTCTCCCTCTGTTTCCTTTTTCTTCTGGGACTGGGTAGCATGAAAATTGATGTCGTAGAGCCTTTGGGTTTCCTGGCTTTGTTGACACTTCGGCTCGTCAGGCCCGTGTGCAAAACGAGCAGAAGAAGGACCGGCCTCCCGATGGGCCTCCGATGGAGCTTCGCGGATATCTAGAATGGAATGTGTGAACGAGTTGACGCGTTACTGTGAGGTGTATGTGGATTTGTATATATATATATATCTTTGATTGCTAAAAAATGTCTATGGTTGGGGGTACATGTTTCAATGATTCATAAGGGATCTCGTCTGATCCCACCCCAGAATTTGATTTGACTCGACCAAACCTCGCGCAGTAGCGAGGTAGCGGCTGCTTTGTGTTTCATGCTGACATGGGAACAGCATTGCCAGACCTTGACTCATCCTTTGGTGACTTTAGTTATTATCATTATTTATTATTACTCTTTTCTTAACGAGGGCCCTGTCATGCTGAGTTGTGAGGAATTGCATCATATATATACATATATATATATTACGTGCTATATATAAGTACTATATATGATATGATAGGACATCTAGATGTATGTCCGTCCCAAGCGGTGACGTTTTTCCCTGATGGGCTTCCAGGAGACTGCCGAACGTGTGCGCATGGAAAGTCAGTGGCGGGACCCAGGAATCGTACGTGGTGAACATAACCCATGAATTAACTTATAGAGACCGTATTTAACCTGGAAACGCATATCTATCGTATATATATATATTATATATGATGTATATGGTACTATCGTATATATATATATTATATATGATGTATATGGTACATATATATATATATGATATATATATATGATATATATATTATATATATATGATATATATATATATATGATATATATATATATGATATATATATATGATATATATATATATATGATATATATATATACGATATATATATATGATATATATATGATATACTATTATAATATATTAACATATATTTATATTATATATATGATATATATATATGATGTATATGATACATATATGATATATATATATATGATACATATGATATATATATGTATATACGATATATATGATATATATGATATATTTGATATATATATATATGATATATTTGATATATATATATATATGATAAATATGATATATATATATGATATACATGATATATATGATACATATGATATACATGATATATCTGATAGATAGATATATATGTATATATATATATATAAGTAGGAGCGCTATACTTCCTAACAGTGCATCTCTCGGGGGGGGGAGGGGGGGGAGGAAAAGGAGCGGGACGAAAGGAGGGGGGGAGGGTTAGGAGATCTAGAAGAGAAGGACAGATAGAAATAGACAAGGAACAGGAATGCTACCTCATAACTTCAAGGAGGGGGGGGGGGTACCTCCCCCAGGGGACCTTGAAACCAATCCGACCGCTTAATGGTGAACTCTCATATATATGATATATATATGATATATATATATGATATATATATATATATGATATATATATATGATATATATATATATATATGATGTATATATATATGATGTATATATATATATATATATCATATACATATATGTCCTATATACATATATCATATATACTTATATCATATATATACATATATCATATATATACATATATATATATACACATCATATATTATATACATCACATAATATATATATATATTGATATTATGATATATATAATATAAAAACGATATTATATATAATATATATATATTATATAATATAAATATATTGATGTATTATGATATATAGAATATAAAACGATATTATATATATAATATATATATATACATCATATATAAATATCTATATCTATATATATACCATATATATATACACCATATATATATATATACACATAGTACTATAAGCCGGTGGTATATCAACTATAGGCCGCTAATCTAACTTTGAATTAAAACTTGTGTTGAACTAGGGATGCACATCCAAGGAGTTATTGAAGATTTTGTTCCTCCAAATATGGTCTTCTGGACGTTTTAAGACTGGAACTATGGGGAGGCAATTGATAAATAATGATGGGTTGGTGGATTAGTGCATTGTACTGCCGAATCCAACCCATCAAACGAATACCTTGAATACCTTGTAACCAAGCAGTATGGAATGGGATAAGGGGGAATTTTCATGGTTTGGGGCTGGTTCAACTTGGGTAGCCCAAAGAATGGCTGGTTACCTCAAACGACCCAAATCAATCGTTTTTCGGAGAGAAACTTCGACCCACGGTTTCAGGACTTGGCACCTGAAGGTTAAATCATCATATCCGCCACTGTAAAAGTAAATAAACCCCATGACTGGGCCCCCCAATGAAGAAATCCAGGGTGTATAGGGTTTCGAACGGTGGGTATTTATGAACATTTGTAGTCACTACTTTTGTGATATTCATGATTAGTATTTCATATCCATTTCTGCTTTATAAAGTGCCACCATTTTTTGTTTTTGTTACCAGGGAAAACTTGTCAAAAAACATACATTATTGTAAGTTATATTCCCATTCTGTTCCCCTTCTATATTTATTTATAACATTATATTCCCATTATGTCCCATATATTACATCATTTTATATCCCATTATACATTCCCATAATGTACTGTATCCCATTATATTCCCATCGAATATGTCCAATTGTACTTTCCCATAATATATCCTGTTATACATTTTCCCATTATGATATATCCCATTACATATTCCCGTTACGAATCCGATTATATATTCCGTCACATAATATAGTATATCCCAGTATATTCCCATTATGTATCCCATTCTACATTCCCATTCTATATCCCACTACATAGGCATTTCTTATCATGGGAGATCCCCAAAACCATGGGTTTCAATCTCAATACTAAACTGATTTGATCACTTGCATGATTTGGGGTACCTCCCATTTTATGAAACCTCCATATATCCCATTATTGTTGCTTAAGTATAGCCTTAATGGTTTGCCCATAACACACCACCAAACGGCCGAAAAAAAGGAACAACGCCGATGCGAAACGTCATGACTTGGAACAACAATTGGAGAAAGCGAGCGGCCTTCGTGAAGGCGCGGCGGCGGTCATGGTCGGGTGGCAACCATTGGGGGATGCGTAAACTGTTTACGCAGGAGATAATGTAACCAGATATAATCATGAGCAAAGAAGGATATGATTTAATGAATTATTTACCACATATGTATATATAGGCTCGTCCCAGGTCCTGGAACCACATACGATGGGGTGGGGGGGTGGGGTGGGATGTTAACGTTCATGGAACTTGCAGCAGTTGATACGCACACGATGGGGTGGGGGGGTGGGGTGGGATGTTAACGTTCATGTGAACTTGCAGAATGATGCTACGCAACGTTCATGTGAACTTGCAGAAGCAGTTGATGCTACGCACACGATGTGGTGGGGGGGTGGGGTGGGATGTTAACGTTCATGTGAACTTGCAGAAGCAGTTGATGCTACGCACACGCGGGGTGGGGTGGGGGGGGATGGGGTGGGATGTTGACGTTCATGTGAACTTGCAGAAGCAGTTGATGCTACGCACACGCGGGGTGGGGAGGGGAGGGGATGGGGTGGGTGTTAAACGTTCATGTGAACTTGCAGTTAACGTTCATGTGAAACTTGCAGAAGCAGTTGATGCTACGCACACGCGGGGTGGGGTGGGGGGGTGGGATGGGGTGGGATGTTAACGTTCATGTGAACTTGCAGAAGCAGTTGATGCTACGCTCACGAGGACTGGGACTATATATATATATATGGTCACCCCCCCTAGAACCCCCGCACACCAATATTTCATGCATATTTACAGTGAAAATACTATATAAAAAAAGACATGTTTCAATACATTTTGCACAGGACATGATAATAAATGAATAAATAAATAATTAACCAAAAATAAAAAAAAAAACAAAAATACCAAAAAAAACCAAAAAAACAAAAAAACAAAAATACCAAAAATACCAAAAAAACAAAAATACCAAAAAAAACCAAAAATACCAAAAATACCAAAAAAAACAAATATAAAAAAAAAATCCAAAAATACCAAAAATACCAATATCCTGCCCCCCCCCCCAACAGGAGGGTCTTGTCTCAAACATTGTTTTTTTTTGGTATTTTTTGTATTTTTAGTTTTTTTGGTATTTTTTGGTTTTGCACATTGCTGTTGCAAAGAACCTTTGGAAACTCATTTCATGTATTTGTCATCTGCAGCATTTTCACTGCAACTGCAATAATATATTTCCAACCTTCAACATGCCCGCGGTCGCACGCGCTATGGCAATGGCCAAGCCAAAGCCGTATCCACTGCCAAGACCTCAGCTACTCTGCAAAAATGTCATTGTAACCTTGCTCTTCTGCCTCTACTTTTCTTGAACTATAAAAATATTGCCCTTTCAGGTCGAACGACATGGAGCTCGAGGGCAGTATCGGAGGGCCAAGTCCTGAAGTGCACAGAAACCTTTGCATTTTGCAACTTTAAGAGTTGTCTCCCATCATCCCAGTCTTGTCTTCCACTTTCCCTTTTGAGGAAAATATTGCCCTTTCAGGTCGAACGACATGGAGCTCGAGGGCAGTATCGGAGGGCCAAGTCCTGAAGTGCACAGAAACCTTTGCATTTTGCAACTTTAAGAGTTGTCTCCCATCATCCCAGTCTTGTCTTCCACTTTCCCTTTTGAGGTCGGATATGTCCATTGCGGAAACGCCTTCGGAAGCGAGTTGGGCCGAGTATCTTGGCAGAAGTGTTGCGGCGCGTTGGTGGCGCCATGTCTTTCTTTCCTTTGTGTGGCCTCTGGTGCTCGTTTGCTTGAACTTCATAGCTCGTAGTCTCTGGCTCGCTCGCTCAGGTCGTGGATGGACGTGAGTGACAGCCCTATGTCGCCTGAGACACCGCCGTCCGCGCACGGGAGATGGTTGCCAGGTGGAGTTCGTGTGCCTAGTACACCACCTGAGCTGTTGCTAAACCTTCCTGGAACTCCACCTGGCACACCTCGATGGTTGCCAGGTGGAGTTCGTGTGCCTAGTACACCACCTGAGGGCCAGCCACATACTCTCTTCTTGTTCCGCCTGAAGCCAAAGGCGACCACTGCGCGAGCGCCGGGTCCAGGGCCCATCCGCAAACGGGACTGGAAACCCTTGGCCTGGAAGCTTTTGAAGGATCGCTCCATCATCTTACACACTGATGGAGCGAAGGCCTACGAATTAGCAGTTCCCGGTGTGTTACACGACAACATTGTTCACAAGAAGAAGCGCATCATGGTCGCAGGCAAGGCCACATGGGTCAAACCTCGCTACACCAAGAAGTGGACCCATACACTACCTGGTGGCAAAAAACTTCATGTGAGAGCAGGCACTCAGATCATAGATCGCTTCTGGGGCCATCTCAGAACATACCTCAAACATGCACCCCGGAAGGTTGGATCAGCGACCCTGATGAGAAAGATCCGCGCTGCCCAATGGACCTATTGGTACAGCAAGAAGAACGCATGGACTTCGACCGCTACCATGCTGAGGGAGCTGCGGTCCTGAGCAAAGTGCGCATCGTGCCAAAAGAAGTTCGTGCTTTGCATGTGTCCCTCTTCGTTTGCATTTGTCAAAGCTGCACACGTCCTTCAGTTTCATCCACAGCTTTCATTTGCTAGCACCTACCTGTCTGCTTCAACTGCAACCTTGTCTTCAAAACAAATTTCTCCACACTACATACTTCAAATTCTGGCTAACATGAACCTCAACTCAAGCATGAAACATTGCAACCAATGGCACATTCTGCTGGAAGCCTCAACCTCACTAAAGCTCTATACAAAAGGCTGCTGCACGGGGGGGTTCTGGGGGGGGGTGAGCATAAATATTTGAATATATTTACAGAATTCCTTAGATATCTATCTATCTAATCTATCTATCTATCTATCTATATATATATATATATATTCATATATATGTTTATTTAATTAATTATATATATATATATATTTGAACTTACATATGTGTATGATGATGATGATGATCATGATGACCCTAATGAAACTTGTCAATTCCGCGACGAAATTTCGTCACGGAATTGACAGTTTTACCAACCTAATTCAGGTTTGCGCGGTTCCAAGACAAGGATGGATAGATAGATAGATAGATAGATGGATAGATAGATAGATAGATATATATATATGCTACCTACCAGATTGATGGTTTTATCTGAATTCGTTGAACCAAACATAAGTAGGGAGAGTTTCTGAACGAGAAATGGAGAAAAGTTGTATCACATGAATGATGGATAACATTTTTTTTAGTGGGGGTGGCCCAACCACGAAGCAGTGTTGACCGAACCAAGTTCAACATTTTGTGTTGTCTGAAAATAGGATATATACCTAGAAATTTGATGGGTAATAAGCTATGTTCCCTATAAAACATAACCGTTTTGAGGTATCTATCCATGGTTTCCCACCATTTTCAGACGGACCCTCAGGCGCATTGGCCAGCCGCAAGAAGCGCGCGGCTCAACACTACGAAAAGGTATGAAACTAAGCCATTGCCATGTGGATGCGCAGGGGCCGGCAACAATGCTACCATACAATGCCTGATGAGGTCATCAAAACAAAGCAATCTTTGGCTTCCATTTCAACATGCTTTTCAGCAAAGAAATGCAGCCGTTGGATTTTTGCCTTGTGACTTAGTTTGTCAATCTCTTCCCCCACGAAGATCAAGGTCATGGAAAAGAAGGACACCACTCAGCAGCGCGGTCGCTGGGATCCAGACCCACTAGCCCTGCGGAGAACGGTGTCAAGTTAGAGGTCCCCATGTTTTGAAGACCAGCTTCTGAGCCTGCTGTGCATGCTGTGCATGCTCGGCTGATCTGTCAGATTGCTTGATTTCTTCAGTGACTCTAGCTCGACGCGATAGTTTTTGCTCCCCAGTTCTAGGGGCAGGTGGGTAAGGTTTAGTCCAAGTTGCCAAGGATGTTACAGCAGTGTTGTGGGGATTTGAAGTCTGCTTGCAGCAGCCTTAAACAAGATCCCAAATCTGGCAGCCATGAATTGTGGATTTAACTTATATACAATTGAACAATGAGCAAATCCACCAGTGATTCACGGTTATAGAAGTTATAGGGTTTATACTAGCTGGTTTGCGATTCTGACATGACCCATGGGAATCTCCATCAACCAACCAATAGAAAGGAAAAACAGGCGGTTTTTTCAACACTGCCCAATGATGGAGAAAAAGGCACAGAGCTGTTACAGGCAGTACTGTTGCGTATTGTTGGGGAATGTATTGATTTTGTTGGCCAAGAATAGCCAAGATTAGCCAAGATAATCGCGAGAATATTTCTGGAGGCACAGTGCAAATCGCCATCCGTGTCTCGTGAGTCGTTCCCTAAATACACTTTCTTGTAGCCGTATTGGTAGTTTGTTTTTCACACATTTTGTGGTGGCTTAGGTAGGTCTAGTTTCACCAAAGCCAGATGTCTGACCCAGACATCCCTAAAATGTGACTTTTGCAAAAAAAACAGATATTCTATTTCCAGAAACTCTAAACATTCCATTTGATATATATATATATAGATAGGATATGATGTTTTCATAGATTTCAAACATCCCCTCTGGTAATTCAACATATATAGCTATGGAAACTCATCATTCATTACAGCAATAGGCAAATTTTCGAACTGAATGGGCGATCTATTCCATAGCAAATTGTGAAATTACAAGAGTTGAGTTTGCTCTGATCATGATGACACTATTTCATTGAAATGGGTGGTATAAACTCTCCCAAATTGGAGGTTTATATTTGGATTTACCACACATGATCGATTTTTCATCCGAAAATCAATCAAAACCGCTGACCATTTAAGAAACTTATGGTTATCTAAGCAGGAAAATCTCATTTCTTGCCCTGGTCATTAGTCCTTTAACAATCCGCGGCTTCGTGGGATCCCAGGTTTGATGACTGCCGCGGAGGCCCGCGATCGCCTCACCGCGTTGTTGCTGCAGAAGGCCGGGGGCGGCAGCCACCAATGGCGGAGCCACCAGTTTTGCTGCTAAACTATGGCTTGAAAAATGGGCAAGTTGGGTAAATTTGCATGAATTGAGTAATTGAGGCTAGAAAATGTAGAAAGAACATTGCCAAGTTGGTAAGTGGAACTGATTCTTGGAGATTGGAAGGATCCAGGGAATCAAGAGGATTCTCACAGGCACCGAGCACCCCAAGGATTCCCAGCCACGCAAACCGAAATGCATCAAGTACTGCCCGGTGGTAGACTGGTTCACCATCTTCAAGCCCGGAAAGAAACCTGTAGAGCGTCATTCCTGTTAGAGTGGGGTTCAAAAGCCAGTAGACTGATGATGATTGGGGCTGGTACTATATGTTATATATGTATATACACACATATAATACATATGTATACATATGTTATATATACATGTTATTCATTGGCGGATAAGCATATACCATTATATTATATAATTATAAGGCTAAAGGCTATTTAAAAAAGGTTTTTGACACTGTTCATATAGGGTCCCTCAATGCCCTCAATGCCCTCATGAACATACCCACTTTCAATCAGGAAACCTTGTGCGCCTGCACTCTTTGATCCCTAGATGGGTATGGTCAAAGCTCGAAGTTCTTCAGCCCCGAGATTCGTGTCATTTTTCCCATTGAACCGCCTTTTTTTTGTGGTCTTCAATTTCTTTCTCGCCCGCAGTTTCTTATTGTTAAAGCAATACATCGCATTTTTGCGGATCTGCCAATTTTTCAATCGGGATTTCTGTCAGTGAATACAGTGAATATCCCACTTTTTCTGGATTCAATCCCTATTCATTCACCAAGCTCCATTTTTCGGGTCCAACATCTCCATGTTTTCCCAGGAAGAGCTGCGCGAGCATCAGATGGCACAACGCTCGCAACGGGCCGTCAGGCACAACGAGTTTGTGGCGGACAAGGTGCCACAGCTTCCACGCCTTTGTTTAACGGGTTGATCAAAGCGGTGATTGGGGGTTGATTTGGGTCATGAACATCAAAGGCAATATGAACATCCTAAAAAACATGGACCATAAATGACCATAATATATGAAGATATTTTGAGTGTAAACCATTTGGTGATAAGTAGTTGAACTATGACCAGTCTTTTGCCATTTTGATGTGAGACTACGTTTCCACCCGGCTCTTTTTTTGTTTGGCGCTATGTCTAGATTATATAGCCATGATGTCAAAGGGGGTGACCTATGGACCTATGGAGACCATCCTGAATAGATGGTGATGATTACCCTGGACATGTTTTTCTGGTAGATCCACAATGTTTTCTTTCCTTTTGTCCAAGCCAACCTTTGGATTGCATTAGAAACTTACCCAGTTGGATTTCAACATTTACACAGGTTGCTGGACCATTGCTGTGGTTCCCGGATGGCATTTGGTGTTCACCTGATTGGTGTTCACCTGTTGGCTGTGAGCTTGGGTTTTTGCAGGACATCGCCACCAAGATATGCGGATGGTTGCCTGAACAAAATGTGCTAGATAGTCACAGGTGGATAAATCCTCGTGTTCAAGGATGATACTGTGTCTTTTGCAGGGTCCGTGAATACATGTTCAAGATGCCAAACATGAACTCTTTACTCAGTTTACTCCCAGCATTTTGTTTGCCGGAAGCAACTTCGTTTTGGCTGAACCGGACCTTCCCGTGGCCGTCTATTGGAAATCATATTTTCAGCTTTGATGGGGTTTACCAGCGTACTCTGAGTCAAGCAATCCTCTATTATATACAACCAGCATGATGTCAGTTGTGTGCATTTTTGTGGAGGTTGAGTCTATTTGAATCTTCATGCTGATGGGTTAGATTCGGTTAGATCCCCGTATGTTTTTTTGTTCACATGTACCTTGTTGCTCCTCAGCTTGCATGGTTTTGAAAGATGTTGTGCCATTGCCTTCCGTGCAAGGTGCAACAGCAAAAGGAGGTCCTTCCGGGGCCGCTTCTGGCACTGGGTTGATTTGAGTCCTGCTTTAAACACTCAAAAAGTGATTCAAACTGCAAAGGGGAAACATATGGAAACGTCCTTGACCCTCCAAAATTAGGCCGGTCATCTGAAAAACAAGGGACATCAATTCCTGGATTTTTCCTGCGCAGAGTATTGGAGGTCATGGAGAAGAACCGCTTGAAGTCCAAGGCAGATGGGTCGAAGGGGAACGACTTGGGCCTTGGGAAATGAAAACCAACACAAAACCGGAGGAGTCTGAGGGTTTTGAGTTTCGGCCAATGCTTGTGCCCATGAAGGGATGTAGCCTCTTGTGGCGCGTGACAACTCTTGTATGAGGCTTTGCCCGCAGCTGAGCGTTTGATGCCCCTTGGCTGCGGAATTCAAACATGAAAATGGATCAAACCAAGATTTCATGCTTTGATACTAAACTAGAACATATTATCCTATACCGTATAGCATATTCAATTGTATCAAACGTTACATCCCCATAAAATGGTTGGTCTTATATTCCCAACAATGTATACATATAGAATTATATATATACATGCATGTATATATATATATACCCATGCATCGAGTTTGGCAGGCTTGGGTGTGCATGTATCATCTTTAAGTGTTCAATGAATGCTATCATTTTGGCTCAAGTAAACTTGAACCAAAATAGCATTCATTGCTGTTTCTTTCTCGGTCGTTGTAAGGGGCGACCTTACTTGACCTTGATTGGTTGGTTCAAACTCAACACAAGGGGTGACCTTGTATGCAGCGCAAACTCCCAGGCATTGATATTCCAGCAGCCACTGAGGCGAAGATCCTGCATGCGGCTGCGTTTTTGGAATTCAAGAACCACGTGGAGAGGCTGGCAAGGGAGGGCTTGGGCCCGGCAGCATACACATGCTGGATGCATGGTATCGAGGTGTTGCACTCCCCCTACGTCATCACTACTGGGACGGACTCAGAGTTGTTTCCCCCCTTGCCGAAAGTGCCCTGCTGCCTTGATGGATGTCCACGTTGCGCAGCTCATGTGGGTGGGTTCAAGTTCCCGTGGCTTGGCTTGTGGAATAGCCGGGGAGTTGTGCTGCCTGATGATGTGGCGCCTGCGGATGCTTGGGAGTACTACTACCAGCACCAAGAACCCATGGATCTCCTGCTGGTCTCGGCATACACGAATTTCAAGGTGGCCGATGACGTGGTGCCCCAAGAGCTCTATGGACTCCAGCTCAGATGTTCAGCGGGTGACGCTGGGCAACTGGGCCTGGGCGAGCTTTTCGAGCAATGGAGGATCTGGCTTCGATGTGTGGGCCCGCACGAGCTCCTGCCGATCTTCCTCGAGCCGCGTCACTTCCCCAGGGCCCCCAGGGGGCGACCCTGGCCGGCATGGGGGAGAGAGGGCGCCAGGGCTCATCGAGCTCTTTGTGGATGGCTGGAAAGCCAAGAAGCCAGAGTCCAGCATCTGGGGACTGCATGCACGGAGTGTGGCGACCCCACCAGGCGCGTGTGTTGGGCCTGCTGCGTTGGCATGTGTAGTGACTGCTATACATGGAGACAGCCATGCACAGTTTGTGGAGGCCGTAAGAAGATGTTCGCTGAAGGTTGATGCTATGACAGAGGAGGCACCTCTGGAGTCACCGCAGCATCTTTTTGCTCTCCGCACCTTAGCAATTTTGTTAGGGTGCAGTGCCATGGCATCAGGCGGAAAAGGCTACTACGCAGCTCAGGCGGCAGCCTCATCTTCGTCAGGGGGTGACCCTGCACCAGGATGGAGGGCGGCCGACTGAAGTTGGGGAAACCGATCAATGGCAAACAGGTGGCGACGGCCATGAAGGACGGCACCAAACTTTGCCCCCAGTTTCAACGTGGAGGGTGCAAAGCCAAGCCATGCCCCCAAGGAGCCCACCGTTGCGCAGCGGTTATCAGGAAAGACCGAGTGTGCGGAGCTTTCAACCATGGGGCGGCAAATTGCACTGGCAAGCGTTGACACACCCCAGAAGAGGAGGCGGCTGCCTCTTTTGGGTCAAACGGCATAGAGCCGCAGGAGGGGCGACCTCTGATGGCGGATCTTATGGCGGGTCCCAATGCCCCCCTTACCAAAGCCTTTGTCAGCTGTGGCTGGAGCTGCCTGACGGTAGATTGGTTGCTGGACAAGAGCCATGACCTCTCGGACGAGCGCAGGCAGCAATCTTTGAGCAAGCAACTTGAAGAGGTGATCTTCATCGCAGCGGCCATCGATTGCTCCACCAAGAGCCGAGCCAGAGAGATTCCTCGGAAGTTCGAAGATGGTAGGCCAGCACCTGGCCCTCTCCGTTCTGAAGTCTACCCAGATGGCCTGCCTCACTTGACTGGCAGAGATGCCAAAAGGGTTGACATGGACAACAAGGCATGCAACTACGTCTTGGGGGAGATCCAGAAGCTGAGAGACAGAGGTGGAGGCAGTGTACGAGAGAACCCTGCCCGTTCTTTGCACTGGTGGACTTCAGCAGAGGTGACTATGTGGGAGTCTGGACAATGGGTTGACACATCGTACGCAGCATGCACCTTAGGTGGCGCACGTTGCAAGCATCAAGTGTTGCGACACAATGTGGAGGAGATCCAGCGATGGCCCCCAGCCAACTGCCACCACGTGCATGACCCACAAGAATGGACCCCCTACACATCTGATGGCATAAGAGTTTACCCTTCCAAAGAAGAGGCAGAGTACACGGCAATCCTTGCTTTCTCCATTGCAGTCTCAGCTAGTTGGTGGGCAGCCCGTCGAGGGCTGGCCAAGTTGCACGTTCCTCGCATGCCCACATTTTTGGCTGTAGGGCGACGGGAGCATTGGTTGGACATGGACCCTCGTGCAATGCGAGAGTGGGCAATGGCACCTTTGGCTGTGACACTTGGGTTGACAGAATCCCTGCGAGCCGAACGACCGGGGTTACCAGTCAGGAAGCTCGTGCAGGACGTCATGATCGAGAAGAACAAGTTGCCACACCAGACGATCTATGTCGGGCGAGGCAGCTTCCACCATCGGCTGACGACGACCAAGTGGAAATCGCCTTGGACACCAGGCCACAATTGCGAGGCTGGAGAATGGCATGCACGGTACATTGTCCATATCTGCACATCGCCGTTGTGGGACGCCCTGCATGAGCTCAAGGGCATGGCCTTTAGCTTGCGACTGTCCTATGGAACAACTTTGCGAGGCCGATCTTCTCATTGGACTCTACTTCGATGCCATGGCCCCTGGGGGCGACCCAGGCAGTAGAGGCACAGATGGCAAATGGAGCCGGGCAGTTACTTTGTTGCAAGGTATTCAGGCGATCCCCAAAGGAGTAGCCCTACCCATGATGAACCAAGAGGCAGTAGTGCTGGCATTTCGCAAGCTTTTCCCCGAGCATTGGTTCAGGAGTTACAAGTTTGCGATGGTGGAGGACCTCATCAACAGCCCGCCGTTTTGCTCCTACGCAGCCTGGCTGGCAGAGCGTGGTGAGGCTTGGGACGGTCCCTTAGTCCCCCACCTTGCTGCGGGGTCCGTGAGGCAACTGGCCCGAATTGGAGATGGATGCCAAGTCGGTGCAATGACGCACAAAGCAGCACTACCACCACTCCTGGCGTTCAACTTGGAGCCGGACGATCATTTCCAACAAGCCCTCCAACGGGCCCAGCGGCCGCTGCCCTATGAAGACCTTCCAGTCTCCGACATGGATTTGGAGTTTGTGGCCGATGCATATGCATCCCCGACCAAATCGCTGAGGCCGTGGAGGCAACAGGCAGTGGGGGCATTGCGCGAGCTGAAGAGACGCTGGGAGGGGGTGACCCTCCACTTGAGATCTTTTCAAGAAACCGCCGTGCAGCAAGTCACAAAACATCGAGATATGGGGCTCATAGCCTTGTTGATGGTGTTGACATCCTGGGCTGACACTAGCTTCCCCTTTGGCTTGATCTGTGGTTTGCCGGCAGTGGGCTATGCGCCACCCTATGGAATTTTTCCCCAGCAGCCGGCTGAGGTGATCAGCATGGCAGATGTTTTGGATGGGTGGCAGGAGCACAACCAGCACATCCTGAACCAGCTGCGAGCAGGCAAAGATGACGAGTTTCTTTTGCAACAATCCATGGAGGATGCCAACAACGGGTTTTGCACCGCACCTCTGCGACGAGCCGAACTTTTGCGGCTCATTGGCAACCGAGCACATCGTTTGATCCCTCGTTGTGTCATCACGCAGAGTTCAGGCAAGCAGAGAGTGATCGACAATGGCGACACAGGAGGACAATCAGCCCTCTCCTCCGATGCCAACAAGCTCACCTTGTGCAGTCCTTTGCGTCCGGCCCAGCACATTCGTTTGGTGATGCATAGATGGACAGCAGAGGACGTCGAGCACTTCTTCGCCAACGATGCTTGGGAGACAGGCCAAGAAGATCTACCATCAGCCTACCGGTATTGCCCCATGGCGATGCAGGAAAGCCTAGGCTGCGTAGTGGTGTGGTACCACCATGAATGGCAAACTCCAGCATATCAGGTCTATGCAGGCCTCCTTTTTGGGCTTCCGTTAGCGGTCACTTCATTCAACCGATTTTCCCGGTTGTTGGAAGCTTTAGCCAGGCGTTTTTGCCAAGTTTTGACATCTCTCTACTTCGACGATGCGACCATCACGGACCTACGTTCTTCCAAAGGCTCCGGACAATGGGCCATGAACCAGCTTTGCAAGTTGATCGGCTCCCCCTTTGCCGAAGACAAGAAGCAGTCAATGCAGAGCACAGGCACCTTTTTGGGCCTAACCCATGACCTCGACTGCATCAACCAGACAGGGCATGTCCGTTTTTGGGCTCGAGAACGTCTTCATGATAAAGTTCGTGACCTCCTCACTACGGCTAGGACTACAGGTCACTTCAGCCGTGGCACAGCTTCGAAGTTGTATGGCCTAGCGAATTTCCTGGAGCAGGGTATCTATGGCCGTGTAGGGTATGGTGGCCTGATGGCAATCAAAGCCAGACAGGATGAAGCCACTACATCGGTAACCCCTGAGATTGAAGCATGCTTCGAGGTGATCGAAGCAGTGATGCGCTTTCAGCCAAAACGGGAATTTCCCGTCTTTCACCTGGACAACCTGCGCTTCCTTGCTGCTTCAGATGCTGCGGTGGAAGCTGACAATCCAGGCTCAGGAGGTTTTCACCTCATCTTTTTCCAGCCTGACGGATCCCAGATACGTCACAGTTTTGTAGCCAACAATTGTGCAGAGCTTCAGAAATTATGGCAGCCTGCAGAAACACACATCGCCCAGTTGGAGCTCTCGATGGTGCTGTACGCCTTAGTGGAACGACCTGACCTGTTTCGAAATCGACACGGGCTTTGGTTTCTGGACAATGTTGCAGCCGTCATGACGCTCGTGAGAGGACGTTCTAGCAATGCCGACTTAGCCAAGCTAGGTCATTTGATCCATCTAGCTCTGTTTGCACTGCGAGCCCAGGGTTACTGGGAGTACGTCCAGAGCAAGAGCAACTGGGCTGATGACATCAGCCGCCTCGGCGCTGAGGACCCATGGTGGCGATGCCATGGCTTTGACTTTTATTCGTCGTACCTTCCCACTATCTTTTTCCAGCTGCCTTTCGTCGCTGTCATTCTCACCTTCGAATTCCTATAGTGCTTTGGGGATTTGAGTGCATTGGGTGATACCTGCTGAGCAGGTTCCAGCCTGGATCACCAGGCAGCTGACCAGTGGTGACACTGGTCTGAGGCTATGTACATGTCACAACGTGACGACCCAAAGCAAACCTGAGGATTGCAGGTGAAATGTGATTGACATTGGCATTGCTGTGAAAAAGGAAAGCTGCGGAAGAGCGAGTAGTATCGAGTTTCATATAACACTTTGAGATGTACCCATGCATCGAGTTTGGCAGGCTTGGGTGTGCATGTATCATCTTTAAGTGTTCAATGAATGCTATCATTTTGGCTCAAGTAAACTTGAACCAAAATAGCATTCATTGCTGTTTCTTTCCCCACCCTCCCAACCCTAAGAGCCGACCTCCCGTGGAGATGTCCGCCTAGGTTAGGGGAGCCTGCTTGGCAGGCGAGTCCATAGCCTCTTCTGGGGATTCTCTCTTGGGGTGACCAAGAGAGTTTTACCTTCCCTTAGGTTAAGGGTTGGGTGATACCTGCTGAGCAGGTTCCAGCCTGGATCACCAGGCAGCTGACCAGTGGTGACACTGGTCTGAGGCTATGTACATGTCACAACGTGACGACCCAAAGCAAACCTGAGGATTGCAGGTGAAATGTGATTGACATTGGCATTGCTGTGAAAAAGGAAAGCTGCGGAAGAGCGAGTAGTATCGAGTTTCATATAACACTTTGAGATGTATATATATACACATGTATAATCTGGTTATTGCAATACAGCATGTATTTGAATATTATTTGCAGTATTTATTTATGTTTCCAGTTCCAATCAAAGTATCATCCATTCTGATTGGTAATGATCTTCAGAGTGTAATGATGAGAATCAGCGAGAATGATGGTAATCAGAGTATAAACCAATCAGAGTACAGTGGTGAGAATCACTCACAGAATGTCATGGATCATGACAATAAAGTATATTCCCATTACTTTCCCATCATCGTTGGATAAATCCCATTAATCACAACATCATTAGGTGTATCCCAGTAAATGATAATCATGATTGCACATAGTTGTCAAAAATCGTATATGGAGGTTTCCTAAGTCATGGGGGGTACTCAAAATCATCCAAGCCATTAGATCATGGCTTAGTATTGAAGCAACCATGGTGACTCGAGGATCCCCATTTTTTTAACAAGAAACCCCATAGAATGGAATGGTTAATCCCAAATTATATCTCCATAAATCCCAAATTATATCCCTGTTACCCCCACATTACAGCAATATAAACTGTTCATCCAGCCTAATATATATATATACACACACTATATGATATATATATAGTTATATATGTAATATATGATATGTATATATTACAATCACCTATCATTTACAATATCTATACCCTCTGACAATCAGGAACTTGAGCCTCCGCCTCTACGAGCGTCACCTGGTGGCATGCCTCGTGCCTCGGTTCTACGTGGGAATTTCTATGGTCACCGGTGTTGTAACCCATCAACCAGTTAGGTTTTGGAAAGTTCTCAAATCTGTGTTTTTCTATACAACACATTCGTGGCATTTCTAGAATTGAGGTAGAAATGGGGGAATACAGATGTAGTCGGGAAACACATTTGCTTAAGGACGATGTTTTTGCACACACCCAAGTGGACAGAAGCAGGGAAGCACCGTCCCGTGAAGATCCAACGGAAGCTTTGTGAAGGGACCTGGGATTTAAATCAGATCTGACATACTCCAAACCCCCATGAATCGCAACTGGACAACTAAGAGCAATTGCAGCAATTGGGGATATCTGCCACAACTATGCATACATATATATATATATATACACACATATCAAATCGGATTAATTAATATACAGTATATATATATATATATGCACATAGAATTACTCTATATAGTATGCTTACTTATAGGGCAACAAATCGCCCTTGAAAGGTAAGTTGTTGTACTGCCCTTTCCGCACCCGGAAAACCCATCTGTTGGGCGCTGAAAGCTACAGGACTGAAGAGAGGTGAGAAGCTGCACATCCATGCTGTAGGATGCTGCGGGTAAGTTTGAACGTGACAGTATGCCTCAAATGTCCATCAGATCTACTGTTCCGAAGCTGCAAGCTCTGGGTTGAGTGTCACCCCAAAAACTCAAAAAAGGTCAGATCACAGGTAAGATCACAGGTAAAAAACCATGAAACACCACTGTCGCTTGGGTTGATCCTCAACACATCGAGCCAGCAGCGGACGCTGGTGTACTGTTGCGGTGACCCCACGAAACCAGCTGGTTCATCAACGGTCAGCTGCGGGAGAATTCAGTATCCGCTGGGCTTTCGTTCACCAGCAACGAAGTGATGTGTCATGGGCGCAACTGTGCCCGTTAAGGACATGGCTCAGCACATGACTCAGTTGGATAGCCATGTTACCATGTTGGTGTTTTCGTAAGCAATCGTTTCCAAAAGCCCTCAGGTACAGTAGGCAGGCGAATGACATTCTGACGCTCGTCACTGTACATTGAAAGTGACGGCTGCATGGGTAGCACGGATACAGTTCTGTGTTGCTACCTTTGTTCAGACCAAGGATCCACAGCAATCTTTTGCGATGACTCGTATGGTTCTTAAAAGGCTTTCCTTCTCCAACCATTAGTAACATTAGTAGGCATTAAAATGCATTAAATGTCATCAATAGTCTTTGTTCCAGAGTATAAGATTGATGGGATCCTTCTGTCTTGTACCAATGGACCAATGGACCACAGACCAGGCCGACCCTGCCCTGTCGCCCCTACGCGCTGCCAAATTTGATGCGGCCAGCGACCGTGGCTGAGCTTATGACATCTCTTATGGCCCAGGGGTCGAAAAGGCCGCAGCTGTCATAGGATCATAGAGATTGCAATCCCAGAAATAACCATGTAGAACTGTAGAACCCATGTATATAACACACACACACACATATATATATACACATAATTTGGACCAGAGGTTTTCACATAATTCAGGCCGTAGGACAGAATTTTTGGTGGATTTTGGCCTTCGGGTTTTAAGATATAGTTTTTAAATGTTTTTAATGATTTTTAATGTATCTAAGTTGGAATGTTGGAATCATGTCCACTCAATATTTCAAAAACATGTGATTTTAATGTGATTTGAATAGCCTAATTTTGATTGCTTAAGTCCCAACTTCGAGCCATCCGACTCTATGGACGGCACTTCCATCCCCAGACACCAGGAGACGTGAATTTGTCCAATGGTCAATCATCATTTTCACTAATCATTTGCCATCAAATTGGGGTACTGTATAATTAGTATAATCTGTATATCTCTGAATATTGCCAAACTCCGACCAACCGACAAAGCCAAGCCTGGAGGCCAAGAATGGCTATGAAAACAGGGTCACCGCCGTTCTGGAGCAGGGGGTGGTCTGGATGGGCTGCCCAAAGGTGAGGGATCCCTTCTCTGCTTTCCTTGGGATGATCCTCGAATCCTCGTTGAGTGTGCCCAATTAGAAACTCCTCATGACTCATTATCCCAGCAGTCCGTTTCCCATCCAAAAGCCGTGAAGTCAAATAGGACACTCCAGGGCAACTCGGGCTGTGGGTCGAACTTGAGCCCGGCCCCAACCTCCTGCCCATCAAGCCCAAGCAAAGGAACTACTTGGTCAGTAACCCCTTATAGCCAGGTATATGTCATGGCTTATGCTTACTGCACCCACAAAAACCCATTAGTTCGCTAAGTTCGGTGCCTAACCACGGCCCATCTTGGTGGATTTCCCCGTGCAGATTTCGTCTGCAGGAGCAATCCTGGCCCTCAAACGCACAGCTCGCCTTGAAAGTCTCCCACTTAGAGGTCGAAGCGGCAGGGGGTTGCCCTGGGTTGCTTGGGGCGCCCTGGGTGGTTGGCTGTAGCCCTGGGCAATATAAAATACACAGTTATACATATGATCACATATGATCACATATGATCACATATGCAGATGCATGAAAAAGTGTGTATCGACATGTACAGCCCAGATCTGGGCCACTCAAGATATATGGTTAGGTGATTTCCATTGTATTAACTTTAATTCACTTCACTTGTGCCTGATGATTCCAATTGACTGCCCAATATCCCAGAATTGCATGAGGAGAGATGCTTTATACAGGACCCCCCTATGAAAACCTCAGCTCTGGAAGCTAGATCCAGGGGGTTCCTACACATTTTCTTGTCAACCAACACAGTGTCACATTTTTAGGGCCTGTAATGAGGGGTGGCCAAAACTTCCAGGCACCTGGGTATCCTGGGTAGGCAGATGTGCAGCAACTTCGGACCCGGAAGGAGGAGTTGGAACGGGAAAACCAGGCCGGTGCAACGTGGCCAGGGGAGATCCCAGCTTAGGCTCTGTGGTGATGCTCCTATAACATGCTATAACAAGCTTGTGTCCCCAGGTTTCGAAATCACTAAGTTGCTGCAAACAGCTAGATGAGTTCGATGGATTATCCATGGATGGTGATAACTCCAGTTGGATGAGTTGAAAACCCCATCGTTGCAGCAGCCATACATGGGTTGAACCTGTTGTAACCCCACGTGAATCGGGATATAGGTATTCCATGGTATTCCCATGGCTTGGATTCATGGTGGTTAGTTGGGCGTTATCATTTCTGTGGCAAGAAAGGAATCCCAAATTGAAGGGTTGGATCACCCGAGTACAAACCGTCTACACTGAATCTACACTATTTGCTCCGATATTCCCCTCGTCATCCCTCGTCAATCTTATGGATTTTTATGTGTGGTGTTTTTGATGGAGTTATCACGTTTTATCCATATCTTTCTTTGAGCTCAAATCCATTTTTTGTTTACATATATATATATGGTTTGCTCCATTTTATTTTCTGGAATACCATTCAATCTTTGGTTGGTTTTCCAAGGAAATTCTACTAAAAACTGGTCAGTCTTACTAAGACAGTCTTTCGAAGGAAATTTCCTCAAAAACTTGCCGGAAAATTCGCACCGTTTTCTTGCGGAGGATGAAAGTTTTCCAAGCTTTGTTGCAAGCCAAAATCCTGTTTTTTATCGATTTCCGATCCATCAATCGTCTAATTCAACTGAATGTTCATCATTTTTTCTGGGTAATTTTAGCAACCCAACTAACATAGAGCCTGAGAATAATAGCCAATCTTTAGAGGATAATGGATAGTACTCTTCCAAACCTTATTTGACGGAGTCTTCCTGAGAGACAGTTTGCTCTTTTAACTGGGTTAGTCCCCAACAAATCTGGACATGAATGTTGTCCTGGAGCTAACCTAACAGTGCCATGAAAGGGATTGCCAATGTAACAGGCAAGTATCACTATTAGAATCTCAATAATGATCGCTTCTAGATGGTCATCGACCTCTTAGATTGTGACATACTTGCAACCTTTATCACATTTAATTAGAATCTCTCTATGTCATTCACCATCATTGCAATCAATGATTCTTCCCAAAAAGTTTCCTTTACAGCTGGTGAACCATTGTTCAATCAAGTTCCAGAGGTGACCTATGTTTGCAGCCTGCTGTTATGACCAGGGTCCACATGTCCAGAGGAAACTATCAAGAATCTATTTCAGCGTTGGGCTGTGTTCGGGTGGATGTATGATTGGTACATCCCTATCCATCCCTAGTTTTGATTGGCTATTCAATTAACCATCACTGGCTATTATCCCTAACCATTGATGTTTAATGAATATGAAGTGCAGTGATGGTTAATGCATATTAACAGAATCCGAAATTGATGTTCAATGCACTTCATATTCTTCTCATCTAATTTCGCTTGGGTCAGGCGCTCGCGACGGCTGCGGCGCAAGGGCCCAGCCTGGAATTGAAGCTGTCGGAGCTGCAGGCGCGAAAGTCCAACTTTCGCCGATAGGGCAATTTGAGATAGCTATGGAAAATGGCCCATTTATAGATGATTTTTCCCTATGTAGATGATGAATATTCGTAGCTCTATCTTAAATTACCAGAGGGTATTGGTTCTGGGCGGAACTTTGAGAAACAAAGAATGGGGTTCAACATGCTGTGATCAGTGAAGACCTATGGCAACTATGGGTATTTACGATTTTGACCACAAAATGTTGGGACCGTTTTGAAATTAACAACGATAAGAATGAATCCGTTTTAAACAATGGGCATGGTGATTGAATTCATAGCAATGAGGCAATGAGTCATTGGTGACTTTGGAAACAACGTTTTGGGGAACCAAAGCAGCAAACATTGGGAAAAATGAGGCCTTACCAGGCCATTGGGGTTGAATGTGGTTGAATCAGCTGTTGCGTTGGAGACTTCAGCAACAGAAATGAGGGGATTCAACCACCAAACATTGGTAAACATCAACAAAACAGGGAAATCTACGGAAATATGGGGATTTAACCAGCAAACGTTGAGGAGCACATGTGTTTAATCAATGGCGATCCTGGACAGCCAGCAAACGTTGAGTTTCAGGATTGACCAGCAATCTTTTGACATTTGACCATCAAGAATTCAGTTTATTAGTGGTTCATTGTAACCAATTCCAGGATGAATATGAACATATACTCACCATGGAAGCATTGAATTGTAACCACCACAAATGTCAAACAAGTAGGATCAAACACACAAGCACGGAAATGTAAATCACGAAAGCTAGCGGTAGCTGGGTCTGGGGGCAGCTCAGCCCCTGTTCGCATGAAGTTTCCCTTAACCCCCCTCCGCCTCGATTTCGCATCATCTCTAAATGACTTTTCATAATGTCCTATCATCTCAACCCATCTTATCTCCTATTTAGTTTATTTCCCATCGCATCTTGTCTCGTCTCATCTCATCGTATATCATCATATATCATCATATCTCTTCCCATCGGGTCTCATCATGCCTCATCTCATCTCATCTAATCTCATCTTATTTCAAGGCATCTCATCCGATCATTTCTCATCTCATCTCATCATTTCTTATCATGTCTCATCTCAATGTATCCCATGTCATGGCATCTCATCATATCTTATCTGGTCTCGTCTCATCACATCACTTCAATCGCACCCCATCCCATCGCATCATATCATATCTTATCATTTCTCATAATCTCAAACACCATCTGCCACTATTTCTCACATCTCTCGTCATCCCGCTTCTTCAACCCAGTGAAAAACCCTTGCCCCATTGCATAGCTTTCGTCCACCCCCCCGGGCCTCAAGTTAGATAAGAGTGGGTCAACATATTGTTTTTGAACTGTTCGAAACAAATGAATGGGTCAAAAAATTAGTTATCCAAAACGGGTTTGGTGGAGGGGTACCACCCATTCAAACACCAATAGGATCCAATAAGTACATGGGGATGAGTCAAAACCTATAATTTGTAAATATGAATTGGGGGATTAATATCAATCAACTATTATGCGAAACCAGGGGGAGCCTGGGAGCAAACCCATTGCCCAGCAAAATCCATAGCAAAAAATCCTGGAATACTCTGGAGGTGAATTGTTTTTGGGTCTGTCGGAGTGTGTTCCCATGATTTTTGCCTGCTGGAAGTGTCCAAGATAGGGCCGATTAGACAACAAACCAGCCACTTCAGTGGGAGATTAGCATATTGACATATATAATTATAGATTAATATAGATGAACATAGATTGATTGACCATTTATGGATATTTAATAGATTATTTATATGATATTTATGGATCTTCAAGGTTCAACCAAAGAATCTCCTTACGGGATATTCCATGGATCTCGTTCCAGGCCGAAGTCCTGAAGCTCGGAACGAGAAATGAGGAGCTGGAACGTGAAAAGGAGGACCACATCGACCGGGCATTTCATCGGACGTTTATGTGGGTTTATGGTTATGTTATGGGATATATATGGGATATATAGATAGAAAGGTTTTGGCCCGAACTACCCCCCGGTTTGCGTAGGGTGGGGTTTTCTCGCGCGCCATCGCCTCAGCGGGCTTGCCACGTGCCCGCGGGACGTCCTTTGTGGCGGCCTTTTTTGCTTGTGCTCTCACAGTCTTGAGCGGGCTGTGACCACCATAGCTTCACCTCTTTGTGTTCGTGGAGCCTGGTGGCAATTTATCTGGTCTGGGGTGGACTGGTTCTATTGGGGCAGTGGCTTATTCTCTTCCGGTGTTGTGCACTAGCTGCCATTTGCTTGGCCTACTGCTGCATCGGTTATACAAGTGGTATTTCAATTTGGTATTTTCATTTTGGGCTTGCAATTCTGGTTGATTTTCCCGGCATCGCTCCCCTGGTGAATATCCTTAATTTTGTGCCTTTTGCTGGCCATACGGCCTGTGCAATTACATTTCTGCTTCTGCAGGTGGGCTCACACCTGAGCGTGACAGTTTTGTGAATCCAATTTTCATGCTTAAGTTTGGGTATTTGCTTTGTCTTATTCAAACTGGCGTTGCACTCCTTATCTTTTCGTCGACGAGGGCGAAGGTTGCGTTCCAAAGCAAGGTTGCAGTGGTTTTTGCACAGGACGAAGATTCTGAGATTGACCGCAACACAACTTTGGCTCGTACATACCCGCCTTTCTTCCCATCACTCAAAGGACTCCAAGTTCCTTGCGGCAATGCGTCGAGAAATTCAAGCCATCATGGCCAATACAGATCAGAGTTATCCTTGGCGCTGCGCATGTGGAAGCATCAATGGGCGACGAGCAATTCATTGCCCTATATGCGCAGCGCACTGGACAGCAGGAACTCCGCATTCAAATCAACCGAAAGCCTCGAAGCAGCAGAATCAACCCAATCGTTGGGTTCAACAAAGATCTGGCACTCCAAGGCGCCAGCAACAATGGGATTCCGAAGAGCATCCTTGGGACAGCAATCAATGGGTGAAATCTCCACGGAAGAAGTCGCCTCGACAGCGTTCCAACACCAATCGAGGTTATGCTGCCAAAGGTCAACAGAAAGGTCAACAGAAAGGCAAAACCAAAGGTGGTCCATCGCCAGGGGCGTTTCCTGTAGCTGTTGCCCCGCCAGAGGCTCCAGGGCCGCCACCAGTGATGCCGACATACCAGGAAGCACCATGGTTAATGGCTCCACCGCCGCCAATTCCTGCCCAGGGAGTTTTGGCGGCTTCAAGTTCGGATCCTGGGTCTACAGCAGCTACGGCCGCAGAGACCAAGCTCAAAAGCATGTATGCTCTCCTGGAAAGGCATCAAGAGGGTCTTCATCCAGATATACAGAAGGAGATTCAGGACGCAAAGGTTCAGGATGGGGAAATTGCTATCAAGTCCCTCCACAAGCAGGTGACGGCATTGGGAAAGGCAAGAACAGAACTCCGCAATGCGAATGCGGCCAGGTTCAACCTGCACGCCTCATGGCGTTCCTTTCTGGTAGAGCAGGTGGCGAAATGGCAGGCCTACTCCCAACAGTTCCAACAGCAGGAGACGCAGTTGTCAGACAGAGTCAACCATGCCAGAGCTGCCTTGGAAGTTGCCAAGTCGAACCTTGCGGCCTCCAAATCCTTGCTGCACAAGACAGACCACTCAATGGATCAGTCAGACACGGTCACGGTCAGCGACGACGAGGAGGAAACCAAGGAATCCAAAGACGCTGCCAACACGAGCGCTCAGAAACTGACAGACAGCTTGCAACAGCTCGGCCAGAGCCTTACCACGCTCAGCGCCAATGCAGACGAACTGATGCTTGCAGAACAGCAGGCTTGCAAGCGGCAACGAACAGGAGAGACGCTGGTGGCTGCGCACCCTCAAGCTCCTCCAGCCCCTGCAGCTTCTGTCGCAAACCATGGAGATGGCTCGTCTTTTTGATTGGCCGGGCGTGTATGACTCCAGAGTATACCGTCCAATGGCCCAGTTCATCAGGCATTTGGCCTGACATGCCAGGAGATGTTATTAAGTGGACACACACTGTGGTCCATGAAAAGGACTTTGTGTCTGAATGGGAAGCTGGTCAACGTGCCACCGAACTAGCTTTGCAGTGTCAGACTTCTACGCACTCCTCACTCCCGAACCTGAGTGGCAAACGTAAGAAGCTTGTGGGATCTGCCTCTGTTTCGTTTGCTCCTTGTATTGACGTGTGTTTTGGTTGTGAGGACTCGTGGCGAATGTTTCAAGTGACTGTTCCTGAGAAGGTTTTGACTTGTGATGTGAAACCTTGGTCCATCGAGAACCGCTTTGTGGGAGATTCGGTACATCTAGAGAGATTTGATTATTGCAAGGACATCCTTGTCCCTGTTCCCGAACTTTTTGCAGGCTTCATACCTCATGATTGTCTGTCACCACCGCTTGAAGTGAAGGCATCCTGTTGTGATCCGCCGTCTCCTGGTGAGGCCGTGTTGATCCCAGGATTGCTTTCCACGGCTGTTCCCAGTGACAATTGTGTTCAAGATTTGTCCAAAGTGCCTCATTCCTTTGTAGCCCCACGGTCTTTGTCAGATGTGTTGAGCTCAGGAGCTGATGCCTTTTGTTTGCCAGATGATCATTTTCATGACCAAAATACATCATGGTTGAACCGTAACGATGTCGAGCCTGTGGGTTGTGCCTTAACACCGGTGTCTTGCCCCAATGACCAGCCTGCCACGACTGGCCCTCATGCTCCTGATAGTACTACCAGTGCAGATACTGCAGGAAATGAGCAACACCGAGCAGGTTCGCCTATTCGGCTTCCATTGTTTGCTCAGCAAATGATCGTCAACCTTCCCAGCGAATTTGTGACCAATCCAGTGCGTATTGTGCGTGGCGTTTTGGTCCGGACGTGGTACCTGCATCATGTTAACATTCCAAAGTCTTTGCAGGCTAGGCAAATCATGCTTACAGGACCACCTCATTTGTGGCGTGCCCAAATTTTGACTACTTGGAATGACTTCCTGATCCCTTGCGAAGATATCACATTGGATCTGGTTAACCCGGCACCACCTCGCAATTGGCATGAAACCAACATTTTGTTCGACTTGATTTTGGCTCAGGGACTGTATGCAGGTCGAATGTCAGGATTGGTCTCAGTTTCTCCCACCATTACTGAGCCTTCCTTGAGAATGTATGCCATTGCTGTGTCTTTTGCGCCATTCATTTCAGGTCAAGATGTCATCACTGAATCGGATGTGCAGCCATTGTGTAATCGATTTGACTGTCTGATTTTTCATGCGATGAACCAGCTCTACATGGATTTTCAGCCAGTACATCACATGACACATGGAGATGGGTTTGTCGTTTACCTCAGCCGAAGACCCACGGACCCACCAACCGCTTCGGTTGGAGTCCTGGCTGAAGATGATCCTGTGCCTGAGCCTCAGCAGTCTCAAGTGAGCGCAATGGACATGGAGGCCGAAGTTCCTTCGGCTCAGCATGGTGCAGCAACATCTAGTGGTGCTGCTGGTAGTCAGCTTGGCAATGCTGATCAAGATCTCCGGAGGATCACGATTTATCGCTTGGACCGTGTCTCAGTCTCAGCGTGGGTTCGTTGGAGGCGTTTTTCGTTGCTCCTTCAAGATGTCCTTGCGGCTACGGCATTGTCGCTGTCGGATCTTGTTGCTATTCATGCCATGCTCGTGAAGCCAATTGGTGATCACCCCACTGAGATCAGTGTTATTGTCCAGCACCTTTGGGACATTGCTCCTGGATCAGATGAAAGTTTGATGTTGCTTGACACGGTGTTTCATCAGCAAGGCCCGGTGACAAACATGTTCGTGCCTCCTGTCGTTGATCGTAAGGTAGTTAAGCTCCCTTGCTCTATCACCAGGCAAGGCTTATTACACGTTGCACGGGTGGCCAACTATTGTGAGTCTGGCGGAAAGGCTTGTGTTGTTTCCATCAACCATGACATTTGGAATGCACAAAGTTTGGCACCAAAGTTCATCTTGCACGGTAGTTATGGACGTATTCAGGTGCCACCAGTTAATGTCCCTGGTGTGGAAACATGTCGAGCAGTGTCTCTTATTGAAGATGTGATCGATCCTGTTTTGCCGAACTTTGCCCAAGTTTATCCGCAGGCTCCGCATCATGCTGATGTAAATGTAAGACCTCCTCAGTGCAACCTCCCGTCTAGTCAGTGTGCGTTGTCAGATGGTCTTCGAAGCAGCATGCCGCAACAGTGTCACCTTGGTACACAGCATACTGTCGATGGACCCGCCTTTGAAACTTCGACGCCTGTACAGGCCGCACCGGTCTTTCCAAATGCACCAGATTGGGATGACTTTGCGCGTGAATTGCAGAGTCAATTTGAAGACTTTTCTGTTACGGAGATTCCTGAGGAGGGGCCAATCTTGCATGTTGTCACTTGGTTTGTCCACCATGATCGAACACCAATGTGTCTTGTCGGTAGACTTGTCAGGTTGTCGCATAGGCCACATGAATGGTTCCAGTTGCTTTTGGCACCATGGATACATTTACTGCAGCCATTTGATGCTTTGGCGTTTCGGCTTGTCAAGCCTGCGCCGCCATCGCACATTCCTGGCATGTCCTCTGTTCATGTCATTCTTGAGCAAGGACTGCAACAGGCCAGAATGACTGCTTTATTTTCGGCTGTGTTTCAAGGACTTCATGGGGATTTGACACACCGGAGGGCGCAATCCATACCCACAGTTTTGTCTCATGATGCAATTGTGCGCATACTTGATATCCAAGACCTTTGTCGGGCTCGCATCTGTACTGCATGGTCTGGACGAGCACAGTTTAGGAGGCAGCGTTTGGATCCAGTTTTCAATGGTATTGGTATCAGTCTCACAGTTGATGCCTTTCGTAATCGCTTTGCCAATGTTGACGATGATGGATTTCCATTACATGATGCGTCCTCCTCTTCTCAAGTCCCGCCGAGGATGTCCTTCAGGCAA